GGTGCGAAATTTGAAACTGTGGGCACCGATTTCATACGAACTATTAGTGAAAGTTACTAGATATGGGAGAAGCTGAGCAGATAAAGAAGTTGGAGCATCAGTTTGCTAAGCTGGTCTCGGAACTAGCAAAATTAGAATCTCAATTATCTATCGCGGCAGAGACAACGCAATTAGAACTGCTGAAGATTAGAACGCAAAATTCTACAATTATGCATGAAGTAATTGGTCAGTTGGAACCATTTACTGGAACAGTAGGGGACCTTGACCATTTTATTAAGGGAGCAGACCAAATTGAAGCCTTGGTATTATCCCGGAATGAAGTTGGCACATTAATAGAGTCTGGTGTGAAATTACTAGATGCATCCTTAGTTGGGCGTATCTCGAGACGAGTACTAAACGCCATCCAAGGCAATCTAACATGTTCCTGGGACTCCTTGAAAGTAAGACTAAAGAAACTATACGGTGGAGGAAGATGGATTTAAGGAGCGACGAAACCAGGGCCAATCAGAAGGTGTTTTTGCAGAAAAGCTCTTAATTAAATACAATAAATTGGAAGAGAAAATGGTAGAAACCTACGGCCAAGCGGAGGGAGCACAGAAACTAGAATTCTTGAAAGGAATTTTGAGGGTACAACTGAATCACTACGTGGGTCGTCCCGGTTCACTGCCAAGAGATCGAGATTTTATTGCGTGTGCGCATGATCTCATAGATTCTAAGGAAAGAGAAGAAACGCGCTTCGAGAAACAGAAAACAGATTGGATAGAAGGAAAATCACCGAGGAGGAAATACAGTCCGCCCAGGCAGGTCAATCAAAATAGAAAATTTGATAGACGACCGAACAGGTTCCCCGATGAGAGAAGGCATAAACCAGAACAACGTTGTTATGAATGCAACCATACTGGTCTTATAGCAGCCCGGTGCAACCTTCCGAGATGTTTTCAATGCGGCAGGTGAGGGCATCTAGCCAGGGAATGTCCAAAGCGAAACTCTCGCCAGAACAGGAGGGCACCATAACGAGAGCCAACTGAGGTTAATAACAAGGACTACAGCAACCGGAGGACTGGTAGGAGGAACGGCGTGCCATTAATTACCAGTTCCGAGCGCAGTGGCCAACGAGAAAAACCGAGGTAAGTGGAGGGAATCCTTGGAGGCAGAATCCTTCCGGGTCAAAAGCAGTAGCGGGACATCCACGAACTGATTGAGGGTACAGCAATTGGCGGGGCGACCAAGGGAGTAATTTGATAATTAACAATAGCGTTAGGGGTAAACATCGGACTAGGTTGCCCGTGGCAAGATTAGAGGAATCCGGGGTCAAATTTTTGAATGATGCATGGAGTAAAAATTCGTTAATTAGCAAGAGGGGAGCGGAAAAATTGGATATTTGGATCGGGCGTAAACAGTGCAAATGTATAGTATCCACGGTTAACGGCCGATGTCAGACCTTAAGCGAAACCTCTTTGTGTTTTAGTGAGTGTTTATATAATGGAGCGGGTGTTTATATAATCATGGGCATAACAAAAGGACAAGTGTGTACTTTCTTAGTCATTCGCAAATAAAGTTTCTTTTCTTTCATAAGGTTTTTGCCTGAATTTTCGGGCTGATTGGACTATTTTGACCGCCTGAAGCAGAAAGAAACCTTCAAAATAGGTGGCTCAATCTTGGGATTTGGTGAAGAATTATTGATGATATGGCTCGCTGATCAAAAACACCATCGATAAGTAATATAAACTCCTTTTCTCTCGATCTTAGAGGCCTCATGTCGACGAAAAGAGACATGTATTCAATGACGGTACTACAATGAACATTGTGTGGATGCGAACCCTATGCCTTGCGTTATCTAGAAAATAGTACGTTTATGGTTTTAAAAATGCAGAAAGAACTATCCGAGTCTTGCTGTACGCATCCAAATATTCAAGGTCCAATTTATCCCGTATCGATTTACAGACCTACCATCGTTCCAGTACTGAAGCTTAAAATGTTTTTATCGACTTTAGTTATTTTAGAAATAAAAATAAAACTGGAGAATACGATTCGCTAACCACCCTCCTACCGTGAAATTCTGAATCCAATGGTACCCCATTCATGGTATTTGAGCATGAAAGGAGCTTATATTTGGTACAAAACCGATTTAGAGCCTTACTGTAATAATATATATAGGGATAAAAAAAAAAAATGTTTCGAAATTAAACTGAAACGAAAATTACATTTTGTCGCAGTAATAAACTTATGAACATTATCAAACATGGCCGAATATTCAGCAGAGGATAGCAGCCTTCCTTAAATAATGGAAATATGATTATCTTTGAAATTTCACTCTCCTCTATAAATCTAAAGTGGATCGAGAAGTTGCATTAGCTGAAAATGCTTTGACGATGTTTCGTGTCAAAGGCACATGTAGTCATGATGATAATGCACTTTGAGTTTTGATGTAGTTTCATATAGAACAATTCTGTGAAATAGAGATGGGAATCATGTTGTTAACAAATGTGGGTAAATGGTTTACTGTCGTGAATAATGAAGAGAAGAATAGTTAGGGTGATCAGTCAAATAAGAAGGCAAAAATAAATGATAATATTTATTTTGACATTTGCCGACGTTTCGACCTGAAGTTCAGGCCTTCATCAGGGCTAAGAAAAGAACCAGATAACAATGTATGAGAAACATAAGTAGTGTAGGTAAAAAGAAATGAAAGTAAAATGAAGTTGTTAGAATAATGACAATAATAAGAACTAAGAGATAAATAATAATAACCATTATAAATTGGAGCATTCAGAACAAGCCCAGCAACTGCCTTACTGAGTGAAACAGGAGAATTGCCCTTGGACCATAGAAGAAAACTTCTCGTTCTTCGTTATTCAGCAAAAATTCAGAGTATGCCAGAGCACAATAATTTTGATATTCTGTATAAAGGTGATTTAAATGTTCCTAATGGTTCAGAAATACTTCAATGTCGAATTGAGAAATACTCCACTGAGTATGAAATTACAACACATATAAATATTATACCTCAGAAAATAGGAGATACCCCTCCGTGGACAATTCCACCAATCAAAAATGAACTAGGACTGAACAATCTTCCAAACAACACTACCCCAGGAGAAATTAGATATAGTTATCATGAAATTGTCCATAAATTATTCCATAATCATGACATAATTTTTACGGACGGTTTAAAATCAAAGAAAGGTGTAGAATGCTGTATAGTAACCCAAAACAATATAAAAAAATGGAAATTAAATAACAATAATTCAATTTTTACAAGTGAAACGTGGGCGATTCTCAAGGCATTTGAATACGTAATCAACACCAATATTGAGAAATCAGTAATTGTGACCGATTCCTTATCTGTAATCAAGGGACTGCAAAATGCATGGACATGTAACAAATTGCACTAAAAAATTCAGCTAATGAACTTGAAACTAAATAAAAATAGTCAAAAAATAATATTGTTTTGGGTATCCTCACACATTGGCATAATTTGGAATTATCAGGGAACAAAGGAAGCCCCCAGAAGCACAGATTCACCTGTTTTAGGATCGATGTTTCTTAACGAATGGAGAAGAGGAATTTCAAAGAAAGTAAACGACAGTTGGAATGCACAGTGGAGATTACTGCCGCGCAATCACCTTCATCTGACCAAAGACGACAATCGAGCTTGGTATCCTCCAAAACACCTGACATCAAAAGAGTGTTCTATAATAAGCAGGCTCAGAATTGGACATAGCAAACTGACCCATCTCCACCTACTTCTTGGCTTACATCGACCAACATGTGAGGTATGTGAAAATGCTAATCTGACAGTTGAACACATATTCCAGTGCAAAAAGTTCCGGAAACAGCAAATCGAATTCCAAATTGAAGACAAGGCACCGTACAAGGAAAACACGGGTATTGAAAAAACGCTGAAGTACATCAGAAAAATAAAATTGATAAGTTATATTTAAGAAGAACGATCGTCGCTAATGGCCTTGGCAGTCGATGCGACGTTAAATAACTGCAAATAAAAAATAAAAAATTGTGGAATGATGAAGTAAACATAATCAAAAAAGGTGACATAAGTATTAAAATGGGAATCTTAGAATCAAATGTAAAACAGAAAAAAGGAATATGAATTTATATAAGAAATGATAATAAATAGTAAAATTAAGATATAGCGAATAGAACAGTTAGATAGAAAATTGAAATATTGAAAAGTGTATCAAGATGTAGAGACAACGTATAATATAATAAAGAGTTAAAACAGAGGAAAGGAAGGAGGAAAGATGATACGCTTGGAGATGATTGGTTCAGGATGGTATTTGTAATACGGACAATAGTTATCCCTCAGTTCCAGCTTCTGAGCCATGGATTGACTTTAGCTGCATTGTTATGCCTCAGTAAATATTTTTTACCCGCTATTATTGTGCATCCAGAAGTTATATGCTGGATCGACTCCACTGATTTTTTGCAAAGGCGGCATAAGTCATTTATATTTTCTCCACAAATATGCGTTCTATACGCCCTTGTGGCTATTACCTGCTCTTGGATAGCCGGCAGGAATCCTTCCCTGGAAAAATATTGCCGCTTTTAAGCCACGTTAACGATACCTGAATGTCTATTCCTATCCCTATCAGTGAATGATAAGATCGCCCATGGTTTATCTTTCCATTTATCTATTAATGCAGCATAGCCTGCATCAATATTCACGGTCACAGCTAAATAGTAGATTTAGAGCTGTGTAATTTGCATCTAGTGATGCAATTGTTGAAAGAATGCTAGAGGTATGACGTCTGATGTAAACCTTAAGTTTATTTTTTTCTTCTCGGCATAGGTTCAAGAAGCTGATGAGACCACGCCCTCCCTTCATTATTATTATTATGTATAATTATTTACGTATGCAACTTCATCTTTAAATCACATAAATATGAATGAGCCAGCTATACAGATTACGTATCGTTATCTAATCTTCATAGAGTAATCAGCAAGGTCAAATGCAACGCTCGGCCATCAGAACAGAACTCCCCGTCATTGTGTAGCTGTCGTTCGTATCGTATCTATCTCATAGTGTGAGTGAAATGGCGAGAAAAATGATCGACTTCTCCAAGCTAACTTCTGAGGAACTTAAGGAGTTCAGGGATAGATACGATGCTTTCATATTCGACATGGATGGTAAGTTTTATCTATTTCTTATGTTTACATTAGATTTTTTTTTAATGAGGATACTTAAATTAAAAATTAATTTTATGAAAGTACTGGTTAGCATAGAATAATGTTTGAGCTCAAGATGAGATTGACGAATATATAACTGGTTAATTTTTGCTTTCACTTACGTATATATGTAATATATAGTAAGGGTTGCGATCTAGAAAATTTTTGAATCTGAGTTTTCACCGGAAATACACGTTTTGAGGTACCCTGAGTCGAAATGACCAAGTCCCAAAAAATGGTTTGTGTGTCTGTGTGTTTGTATGTCAGAGGTCTAGCTCAAAAACGAAAAGTCCTACGAAACTGATGTTACGTATTTAAGATAGGTATATGCCTTAGATGTGACGGCAACTTTTTCCTTAAATTCGGCTAACCGGAAGTGCCACTTTATATCAACGCTGAAACACATTTTCACAATTTTCTCCAAAACGGCTCTAACGGTTTTGATTAAACACGTTGATTGCATAATTAAATTGCATAATTTAATCTTTAATATCAATTAGGTCTTATCCCCATTGATCTCACTTTACAGGGCTTAAATGTCCAATGTTCATATACGTCTTCCTCTAAAGTGCCTTTCATATGGTTTATTTTAAAAAGTTAATCATTTCACATTATTCAGAGTCGCGAAAAAATGCTAAATATAACTTTTGAAAGAATTTGATAAGTTAATAAAGGAGAAAAAAAATAAAAATGCTAAAAACCTGCGTTGCTATAGAATGTAGCGCTTAAACGAATGTACCGGTTTCAATGAAAGTTCACTAAAGTCATTTTCTCGAAACCCTTTAAATTTATCTATATAACATACTTCAACGAAAAGAAGCTGGAAAAAAGTTACGAGGGATGGTAAAATAAAATTCCAAATAACTCAAAAAGTATACACTTTTTTGGGGATATTGTGTATGGTTTTTTAAAAGGTTATGGAATTTCTTAAAAAAAAAAATGTTAAGATCGGACAATCAAGAGGAAAGATATAGTCTCTTGTTTTTTCTCTCTGAAGAGGCGAAAATTTGGATAAATTTAAAATATACTTTTTTAATTTTTGAGACTAAAAAAACCTTTTTTTCTACAGATATTTAATAAAGTATCTTTCCTAAGAACATTGTTCATAAGAAATAAGTACCTAAATTTATACTTTATTCTCAGTTCTATATTTCAACACTGCAATCACCACTTCCGGAATCAACTTACTCATTGTCTGCATAAATAACTTTTTCAACTAAAAATATCGCTAAAATGTCATTACTCAAATATCTTGAAATTGGAGTTAGTCTAAAAGCAAAGAAATTTGTGTGGTTTATAAAAACAAATGGAGTGACTAGATTTTTATTGCCTGTCGTCAATATAATAAATAGATATTTTGTAATTATAATGGTCTTAATGATTTGTTATCTGTAAGCTTTAAGCTTTAGCTCCGTTTAAAATGCACTTCAAAAAAATTTATAATAGCCCAGCATTGCCAGAAAATAATTTCTATTCATAGTAGATCGGTTAGTGAAAGTTGTGTATTGCGTGCACCAAATTGTTTTATTTATTTATTTTTTTTTTGTTCAAATAATTTTCAAAATTATTTTCACATTCTGACACAATAATAGTACAATAGTAATAATATGAAAAAAATCGTACACAAAACTTAAATAAAATAAAATGAAATGTTAATATTGAAATAAATATACCTGAAGTAAACAGAAATAAAATAAAATTAATGATAATTAAAATGAGATATCATCTTAAACACAGATATATACACTATTTATAATCACGGAATTCAGAATCAGAAATTTCTTTCCATAAATGTGGAAAATATGTTACATAAATTGTTTCCTATGTCATTTGCTTAGCTCTAATATCTCCAACAATGGCTATTTAATATTTTATTTTTATTACAAAAAAATAATTTTAAATCTACGAACGGGTTTCCTTGAAATTTTTAATACAGATTAAGTTTATTAATTATTAATAAGAACAATTTAAACAATGTCTTAAAAAAAATAATGACATCAGTTTATATCAAAAATTGCTACTTTTAAGTAAATTAATTTTTTTTGTGAATTTCTACTTTATTTATCGATATAAAAACACAGTACGTGCATACAAATTATAAACTTTTCTATATCAAATATATTTACTTCAAGCTCCTAATGTTTTGATTTCCCAGAGACAAAATTTATTAAAATAATGAGGATTTAATTTTTTAAAACGTCATTGTATGGCTTTTTGCATCAAAGACATAAATAATAAATAAATTCATAGAATACGAATTTTAAATATAGGCAGCATATCAATTTAAAATAGGATGAACGTGCCAATATATATTTTCTGGACTGTTATATTATTTCTTCCCTGCGAATCCTGATGTTCAGTCAGTTCGTATACCATGACATATTACTATAAACAAAACATTACAGAAAGCTGAAAAAAATTCTGATTAACAATTTCTATAATCCAATCTACAAATAGCATTCTACAATGGATCGGAATTGTCATCATAAATAAATTACTTAAGAAGAATTTTAACATATTAAGATATATTGCTCAACCTAGAAAATGGCAATGTATTAATTGTCATGAATCATCTGGCTGACGCATAGATTATCATTTTTCCTTCTCGAGAAGTGACGTATTGTTTGTCGTTTATTTGCAGCTATTTCATCAAAGACACAACAGGTTCTTGTGATCTTGGGTCAATGATTCTAAATACAACTGCTTTGAACTCGTCTAGTAATATTTCCTGTTTATTAATGATACAATAATTCAGGATGAGAAGAATATTTTTTCATTATTATAATTTACAACTGTATTAAATAATAAATACAACAAGTAAATATGAAAAAGCAACATGATATGTACAACATGAAGAGAAACTAACCATAGGTAGCACTCCAATTATATTTCTGTATTAGAAGATCTTCAGGCCATCTTCTTTTCTGACTCCTCGGAGGGTTATCAGGAATAGAAGAGGAAGCAAGGTTGATAACAGGAGGGTTCGGATGGTTCAGAAGTTTATTATGGAAGGATAGGTATCTGGATTGAGCTAAGTCAGAAACATATTGTACATTAAGGTCGTTATGGATGATTTTATTTTTGACAATGTAGAGAGAATTGAGGGTTTTGGATTGCAAAGATTGGATACGAAAGGAATTTGATGGTTTAGTAAACCCGCAAAGCTTGATGGTTTAGTAAACCCGCAAAGCTTGATGGTTTAGTAAACCCGCAAAGCTTGATGGTTTAGTAAACCCGCAAAGCTTGATGGTTTAGTAAACCCGCAAAGCTCGATCCCGTAAGTCCAAATAGGCCTTTTTATATTATGAGTCTTTTGTAAATAGTTGGAAGTAAAAGAATTTTAATATATTTTTTTAAAAAATACCTTTGTACTTTTTTTTTTTTAATAAAATGCATTTTAATATTCAAATATATAAATTGTTTACAGAAAAAGTAAAATCTTGAATAAGTTTAATAATAGTCCGTGGTACAGACCCATTTTTACTAAATTATTAACATCCTCCTAAAACTTTGTAAGTAGCTTCATCTCATCGTAACCTACAACTATTTTATTTACGAAAACTCTTGAAATTTTCAGTCTGGAGGGGGGCAAACTTTGTTTATTTCATTAGGTTCTAAAATCTCTTAAATATCCACTTGCTTTCCATTTGGATCGTAACATAATTTAATCACAAAATCAATAAAAAAAGTGGCCTACAAAAATTTGGCTAGTTTGTCCTATATAACCTCGTTATTTTGAAAATTTGGAGGTGTAGATCACGCTAAACGGCTCAATAATTTTGAAGGCCACCTTTTTTCTCGATTTTGTGATCAAATTATCTTACGATCTAAGTAGAAAGTCCCAGTCCGCTGGTGTTCCTCAAGGTAGTATCCTAGGTCCTATCCTCTATACAGTTTATACAGCTGACATCCCTACCTGTCCTAACACTGTCATCACCACATATGCCGATGTCACATGTATCCTATCAGTAAACAATGACCCAGCAATTGCATCCCAAATGCTTCAATCACACATCATAAATCTAGAAGAATGGTGTCAAAACTGGAGAATTAAAATAAACTCCAATAAATCCCACCAAATTACCTTTACCCTTCGTCGTAAACCAACGACTTCATGTCCTACAGTTTCCTTTAACAATACTCCACTTGTTCCTGTTGAGCAAATCCGATACCTAGGACTCCACCTGGACAAACGACTAACTTGGAATCCTCATAATAGACTGAAACGACAAGAAACCGCTCGACGTTTCCGATTACTTCAGCACTTACTAGACAAACGCTCTAAACTTCCCATTAATGACAAAAGACTCATATACTTGACTATAATAAGACCTATTTGGACTTACGGAGTTGAGCTATGGGGCTCCACTAAACCATCGAATTCTTCTCGCATCCAATCCTTACAATCCAAAATCCTCAATGCTCCTTACTTTGTTACTAATAAAATTATCCATTAAGATCTTAATGTTCCTTATGTTTCAGATCTGGCCCAATCCAGATACCTATCCTTCCGTAATAAACTTCAGAATCATCCCAACCCTCTCGTATCTAACCTTGCTTCCTCTTCAATTCCTGATAACCCTCCGAGGCGTCTGAAAAGAAGATGGCCCCGTGATCTCCTAATGTAGTCATATCATTAGAGTGCTACCATTGGGTAGTTACTCAGCAAGTGTATTCATGTCATTATATCAATTATGTCCAAATTTACTTGATGTATTTATGTAATACAGTTGTAAATGTCACAGAAAAAAAAAAAAAAAAAGTAGAAAGCAAATGAGTATTTATGAGTTTTTTAGTGCCAAATTAAATAGACAAAGTTTGCCTCCCTCCCATATTAGAAACGCCCCAATTCTAAGAGTTTTCGAAATAAAAAATGTTGTAGGTTACGATGAGATGAAATTGAGATTGAGGTGGCCTTAAAAAATATTGGGCTGTTTGGCGTATATAACCTCGCTATTTTGACAATTTGGAGGTGTAGGTAACTCCAAAAAGTTCAATATTTTTTAAGGCCACCTCAATCTGAATTTCATCTCATCGTAACCTACAACTATTTTATTTACGAAAATTCTTATAATTGGGGCGTTTTTAATCTGGGGGGGAGGCAAACTTTGTCTTTTCTCGACTTTTGTTCAAGTTATCTTACGATTCAGGTGGAAAGCAAATCGGTATTTACGAGTTATTGGTACCAAATTAAATAAACAAAGTTTGACTCTCTCCAGATTGAAAACGCCCCAATACCGAGAATTTTGGTAAATAAAATCTTTGTAGATTACGATGAGATGAAGCTAGTTACAAAGTTTCAGGCAGATGTTTATAATTTGATAAAAAAGGACCACGGACTATAAACTATAAATCCAGCTAATTTGTATTTGTTATTTATCTTCATCTTCAAGATCAGGTATTTTTATGATAACCTTTCTTTGGTTTTCATTTTCATACAGACGTATTAATAATTTCATTTCCCTCATTGTTGTAATAATAAATTTTTTCTTTGTTATTTTTTAATTTTGATTTTACGTATTTATGGATTTTGGTTTTATGTTACATATTTGTTTATTTGTGCTTTTTTCCCGATCAGCTGATTAATTATAACCTTCCTCAGATGTGTTATAATCTTACCTTCCTTCCAGTATGCGATTGAGTGTCATGGAGTGCGATCTTGGTTTTACATTTCTTTTCTGTCCAGATGACGCTTGATTTGTGTAACGTTGACGAGTTTCTTATTAGTTACCTGAATTTTGGAATTATGAGGCTTCGTTGTTTGAAGTGTCCCAGTATGTTCATGTAAGTTATGGTGAAATCTTTTGTAGTATGTGATCGTCAACACTTAATATGTGAAGATATTTATGTAAATTGTTGTTTGTGACGTACCATAATATTTCCCAGATTCGCAATAAACAAACAAGTATTTATATTACTGTAAGACATATTTAATCAATACATCTTTTTAGGTTGCTTGGTTCATTTAGAAGCAGGACCTATAGATGGTGTCAAAGAGGCACTTAACGAAATTGCCAAGCACGGAATATCGATTCATATTATGACGGATAATTGTTTGTCTACATTAAAAGACATCTCTACAAGAGTAAACAGACTTTTTCCCGCTATCAAGAAGGTGAATAGACTCATTATTTACTTACTTAATAATTACAAAAATAACTGAAAAATCACTGAAAACCATATGTGGAGGTTTTCATTCCATTTAAGTTACTGAGGCGATGGAGCTATTCCCCGCCAAAAAAAAGGTCTCGGGAGTTTATAGTATGTATTAAAATTATGAGTGACAATTAACGAAATCAATATAATTATTTTTAAACTAACTAGATTATACTGTATAGCTATATATATATAAATTTTTTTTTTTTTTTTGCTTGTCCGCGAGTGTGGTTTCCTAGACCCCATCCCGATTCCCGATTTAAAGTACGGGATATGGTCATCAATCCTACGGCCGGTCGGTGTGAGTTGCCTCCAGTATTCTGACGAGGCTCATATACTTGGGGGGGGGGGATCTCGGGCAGCGTGGCTTTTCTTGGTGGACGATATATATATATTTTTTTTTTAAATTTGTAATCGCCTCTAACCTAGAGCGTCATTGGCGGTAAGTTTTTATAATGTATTGTTGTATTGAGTTTCTATTAACTATTGGAATAGAGTTATCACTCCATCCTCGTTGTCTCTTAATATTTCTTTCATTCTCATCGGTTACTTCAGTTTTTGTCTAATTTTTTTTTTAATCATGGCACTTTAATAATAGGTGTTTTACCGACTGCAGTTTACTGTTGCACTTTTGGCAAGTGGGTATATCTAATCCTCTAAGAAGATACCCGTGAGTAAACAGGTAGTGACCTATTCGTATTCGACACAATATGATCTCCTCTCTTATTTATTAATAATAAATTTAAATGCATGTTTATATATTAGATTTTTTTTGAGTGTATAGGTATATTCGAAAATATTTTTGCCAAACAATTTGATAAATTAAACATTTTTATCAAAAGTTTTGAGACAGTGAGATGAACTCTCACTTCTACAAACCTTTACGTAAAAGTGGAAGTGTCCACATTAGTGTTGCCCAAATGCGAGAATGAGAAGAGTCTTGGTCTTGCAAACTGAGTCTTGGTCTTGTACAAGAGTCTCGCAATAGTCATGCAGTTACTTATTAGCTTATTGCTGTAATTTTTTAGTAAGGAATAACCTAACTAAACCCGAGTGAAAAATTAAAGGAGTTAAATGCAAAAGTATATTGGTTATACCAATGATTAACATATAGTAACTAAGATTGTCAAGTATTAGTAACTATTTTTCCTTCATTTTTTATTAAAATCATCTATTTTTTAAAAAACATTCATGGTCTTGGTCTCGCAACAGTTATGCAGAATTGGTCTTGATCTTGCAAAGTGCAAGACCGAGACCGATTTTGGGCAACAGTAGTTCTAGGATATGCCGCTAAATTTAATTATCTTTGAATATGAACTAACGCTTCAATAATAGGAACATAGGGCGTTGAAGAATATATGCTTACCTTCTTCTAGGCCTTAGTTAAGCCATCTTTGGCCGTTTGCCGAGTTGCACAAATATACATCTTTACTTATTTCCATCAATGTCCTCTCTACATTAGATAAATATATATCCAATGACTTAAATATACCCATTGTTATTACAATGTTTATTTGTTGTTGTTAAAACATACGATTTTGTGAAATAAAAAAGTGCTAAGAGCACGATAAAACGCAGAAAATTCTATTGTGCCGATTGCACATTGGTCACTGTCAGTTTACACCTGTATCTTCTAAGAGGTCTAGAAACACCTACGTAGTAAAACAGACAAAAATTAAAATTATTATTAATAACATTTAGTCCGTGGTAAAGACTCATTTTTATCAAATTATTAACATCCAGTTGAAACCTCGTAAATAGCTCCATCTCATCGTAACCTACTTCTTTTAGGTAAAACATTTTATTTACAAACATTCTTGGAATTGGGGCGTTTTCAATCTGGAGATCGGCAAAAAAAAAAAAAAAAAAAAAGGTGCCTTCAAAAATATTGAGCCGTTTGGCCTATATAACCTCGTTATTTTGAAGATTTGGGGTGTAGGTCACGCCATCTTTTTTCTCGACTTTGTGCTCTTATCTTACGATGAAAGTGGAAAGGGAATGGGTATTTACGAGTTTTTAATAAATAATTAAATAGTAAAGTTTGCCGACCTACAGATTTATAACGTCCCTTCTCCGAAAATTTTGGTAAATAAAATGTTTGGAGGTTACGATAAGATGAAGCTTTTTACAAAGTTTCAGCCGGATGTTAATAATTTGATAAAAAGGAGTATGTACTAAGTCTGACTAATTATTAATAAGTAAATATTGAGAGACAGTGAAAATAGAGTCACCACTCTGTTCAAATACTTAATAGAAACCAAGTATTACAATCATGATATTATATAGTTTTTATATAAACTTCAATATATATTATATAATATTATAAGGCGCTTGAAATAGGTAATCAAGGTTAAGCAACGTCGAGCGTGGATCGGTGACCGTCCACCAAGGAAAGCCACGCTGCCCAAGATCCATTCCCTCCCCCCCCCGGCTCTGTGAGACCGTTAGGCTACTGGATGAAACTCACACCGACCCGGCGTAGGATTGTGACCCTATCCTGTGCTTTAAATCGGGAATCGGGATGTGGTCTAGGACACCACACTCGCGGTCAAAGATCTTCATGGTCTGTAGCGGCAACGGAAAAAAAAAAAAAAAAAAAAAAAATATATATATATATATATATATATATATATATAATATATATATATATATATATATATATATATATATATATACATATATGTATATATATATATATATATATATATATATATATATTATATGACGATTAATATATCAAGAAACCAGCTACTCCTACGAAAATATTTAACATAAAATAATTTGCAGTGAATTTTATCAATTCCAATTTGAGTCTGGATATTTAACGTTCAATAGTATAAGTAGAAACATTCTCTGAAAAATTAATATTTTTTTTTAAAGACGAGAAATTACCATTTTGAGATTTTCTTCTAATAAATGTTATGGTACCTGTTGAAACGAAGATAATTATTATAAACAACTCCTAGAAATTCCAGTATTTAATATAACAAAAAATTGTGACTTGTGTGGGTGCGTGTGTGAAGTTAGAATTTTAACTTTCTTTTTTTTTCAGAACTTGTTTATTAAAATATTATTATTATTATATAATATTATAAAACTATTACAATCTGTCTCAATGGACACCTTAATATTATTGTCTTACTTTTACAGATTTTAATATGGTTCTCGGGTGAATTTATTTTCAAATTTGTGTTTAGGAGAACGTTATGAGTTGTGGACATCTAGCGGTGAAATATCTGAAGGAGATAAATTTTAACAAGAAAATATACGTGATGGGTTCAGAAAGTGGAGTGATCGTTGAACTGAAAGACTATGGGTTCGATGTCATATACGACGATGAAGTAAGTACCTCAGTTAAGTTTAAAGAAGAATAAAGAGATGATATTTTATAAGGCATAGTACATATGAAGCACCCACTAGATTTTTTTTTTATAATTTAATAATGTCTAAAATGATAATCTTTGCGTTATTGATTTAAATACCATGTGTGAAAAATCCTTTAAGAAATACTTTAAGTTAATTAAAATAATTTTCTTTTTAAAAACATAAAACAAAGAAATTATTCTATTTGAAATTGCCTCAATATTGGGATAAACCTATGATAACTTTAGTCAATGATCAAACAGTAACAAAATAACAAAGTATATTTAGAGCTGGGATTGGGGAGGTATGGGTACTAAATTTGTTTTTTAATAATTTGATTTCATGTATTCGAAGTAAACTTTATTTTTTTTTATAAATAAGTTTTATTGATTTTTTTATTATTATATTTATCTTGCCTCTATCTACAAATCCAATTTAATATTAATATGTATGCATACGTTATTAATGTAAATATTTTTAATATTATTCCCACATATATTATTACAGTAAGGCTCGAAATCTGTTTTGTAACAAACATAAGCTCCTGTTTACGGTTTAGCGAATCGTACTCTCCGCTTTTGTTTTTCTTTTTAAAATAAATAAAGTCGATAAAAACATTTTGCTAGGCTTCAATACTGGTACGATGGTAGGTTCGTAGATCGATACGGGACGAATTGGGGTTTGAAGAGTTTGATGCGTATAGCAAGACTCGGACAGTTCCTTTGGAACTATCGGGCCCTCCGTTTTGAAGCCCAAAACTGTACTATTTTGGTGATAGCGCAAGGCACAAATTTAGCATCCACACAGCCTTATGTTAATTGTAGTACTGTCATTGAATGTATGTCTCATTTCGTCGACTTGTAGTCCCTGTGATCGCGAGAGAAATAGTTCATACTATTTATCGAAGATGTTTTGTGTCGGCAAGCCACATAATCGTTAATTCTTCATCAAATCATAAGATTGAGCCACCAATTTTGAAGGGCCTAATAGTGTTTCTGAAATCGCTTTAGTTGTGCACGCGGTACCTGAATTATATATATATATATATATATATATATATATATATATATATATATATATATATATATATATATATATATATATATATGTATTATTTATGTAATTATTGATGCCGAAGAAGTTGATTAAGTATCTCCAGGACGTTCAAATAAAAATTGAAGTGTTTGGTGCAAGAAGGATGCAGCTCCACTTTTTCCAGCTTGTAGCAAATTTTGACACTGCATTGAATAATCCCTTTACAGATATATGGCTGTTCAAAGAGGAATAGTTTGTACTTAGTGATTAAATATTTATCGTTGGGTATCGTTTGATGGACAAACAAGGCAGCTCTATCTGCCGGATTTCTCTGGAACTAGCGGGTGGAGCTGCTTCATTCTTGTACCAAACGAAGCGGCCTTTTCTTTTGTATGTGATAGGATAGGATGTGCAACTCAATAGAGGCCCAAAGTTGACCAACCTCCTACTTGCATCAAACCCCTCGATTACAAAACACTACATACTCTGTTTCACATTTTTATGCAGAGTTTAGTGGCTTTATCCTTTCTACCGTCGTAAATATTTCCTGGCATCCTTCCTCTTTCAAGTCATCCAATCCCACCGCCCCTCATACATCTCCGAGCTCTTTAAATTCAAATCCTCTGTTCGTTCCCGCAATACACGTTACCGGTCTTCTGATTTATATATAAGGGCCCACTGGACCGCTGCTTTCGACATATCTTTCATTATCCGATCCTCATCTCTTTGGAACTCCATCCCCTCTCACATTCGTCAATCCAATATTCTTCCTACCTTTAAATCCCGCCTGTTCAATAATTTCTTATCGATCCAGTCCCTATGAAATTGTAAGTAGATACTAACGTAAATATGTATATAAATTATTAGTTCGTTCTTCATTATTTTTACTTCATCCTTTGTTTTTCAATTTTTATTTTTATTATTAATTGATTAAAATTAGAAAGTAACTTGTAATTTTCCATTTTTCACTATGACTGTTAAATTACTCTGTATTTTTATTTATGTATCTCTAAGGCTCCTTAGCCCTTATTTATGTCTTTATTATTATTACATATGTTTTTGTTAATTAGAACTATGCGTAAAACGAGAGGAGTTAAAAGATAATCAAAGAGGAAAGGTCAAGAACTAATAAATCATAGTTTTGTAATATTATTTTCTATTCTCACTATCTCTAAGACAACTACCGCCAACTTTCATCCGTACAAAACAAGGAATATAATATTCAACCCTGGCATCTATTATATAACTTATAAGTAAATCACGTATCCATGAATACCTTACCAATATCAAGACAAACTTATTATTATTACAGGTATCGAAAATAACAATTCCTGAGTTAAGAAAAGTAACATTTGAAAAGAATGTTGGTGCAGTGTTGGTCGCGGCGGACATGAACTTCACCTTCCTCAAGCTTTTCAAGGCCGCCAACTACCTTGCAGATCCCGAAGTACTGCTGATGCAGACACACCTTCCAAACATCGCGTCCGTTGATCCCGTTTTACCAGGTAAGACAAGTGTGGTAAGCGCACCAGTGGTGGACATAGCCAGGGAAATTTTCGTCTATTTTGGCTTGCGCTTATGTAATTATTATAGTTATAAACTTCTCCGTTTGATGTTTGCAATCTCTAGAATCTCCTTTTTATATTTAACACTTTGAAATCGAAAAACATAGCACTTCGAGTAGCCACTGGTGCTTTTCGATCAAGCCGCATAGCGAGCCTTCAAGTCGAAGCAGGTATAATACGAAGGCAAATTTTAGACTTAGCGTTCTATATAAAAACAATTTCTAGACCCACTCACTCTTTAAAAACACACTTGTTGTACCAACAACAGTTCTCGTAAACCCACCAACAAAATTATGTTTAGCAGAAAGGTGCTCAATTCACATCACATACTTTGATCTCGCATCTTTTCCTTCCATTCTAGAAGTTCGGCAATTACAAACAGAGCCCTGGCTGTTACCAATTCCAAAAATACATAAAGTAAAATGTAACAAGGCCCTTGGTTCATAGTTAGGATTGGCAGAATTTACGGACTTCCAAATGAAAAATTCCGATAAGGGAATATCTTTCACAGATGGGTCAAAAACTCAAAATGGAGTCGGTGCGGCCACTGTTTCTGACAATGTGGATATGTTTTCATTGCCCCCTTATTGCACTTCCTACCATGCAGAACTGTTTGTAATAAATCGTGCCGTTTGTAGTCTCACCTGCAATAAACAACAAATTTATATTTGTACAGATTCAGAATCTGCCCTCAAAGCTATTAAAAACTCGTTTTCAACAAACGCATTAGTCACAGACACGGTTAGGCATATAAAAACATTGGAGGGTGTAGGATGTAAGGTACAATTTTTGTGGTTACCGGGTCACTCAGGTATCAGAGGTAACGAGCTAGCCGATATCATGGCAAAACAAGCAATCACGGAAGGAACTCCAGTAGGGGATGCTTTTCCATAAGAAGTGATAGCTTTGGTAAAGAGAAAGGCTTTGGAGAAATGGCCGGGTCTCTGGCATGTGTTAAGAGAGAATAAGTTGAGAGTGATCGAGCCCTCTGTAGTTCCCAATCGAGCGAACCTTCAGCTAAAAAGAAGAGAAGAAATAATACTGACAAGGCTCCAAATCGGCCACTCACGGCTAACTCATGAGCACCTGATGAGAAAGGGGAGGATCCCTCAGTGTCTCTGCTGCGTTCATTTCTTCAAATAACGCACTTTTACAACAAAATTAAAAATTTTCTGACCCTTTTTATGTTTTAAATATTTTATTATTAAATTTAATTTCATCTGATGTAAAATAAATATTTTGTAAAGGCTAAAATGACTCGTAAGAGGTTGAGGAGCCCCGCCATTGTTGTAAATAAATAAAAAAAAATCAGGTGAAATCACAATTTAAAAAAATCTGGTGCGTCCACCACACGACTTTTCTACCTACTTCAGAACAGTATTTAACTATTTCCATTAAAAAAAAAAAAAAAAGAGCAAATCGAACTAGATTTATTTTTCTGAAAATTGATCAAATAAAAGATTTGAGTACCATTTATTTGATAAACTAAAGCAATGTAAACCGGCTTAAGGTAGAGTAAAAATGTCAATAACTAATATTGCTAATCATAATTTTTTTGCTACAGCCTAATTAGGTCACACTACAATTTCTGTTAAAAGTTGAGGAAATAGTGAATCTTGTTTGATGTATGCAACAAATTTTCTTACTGTCACTTAGTTTCCTAGTCCGTGTCACTTCTTACTTAGTTTTCTTATTTCTCTCTCATTCACCCCCTTTCTGACACCAAGATATGAACCCGTAATCTTACATCCGAAATTTAATAGTTGCAACTTTGTTAATAGTTGTCCGAAATGAACGATTTTTATAAAGGTTTGTAGGGAATTTCATTACTTACAACTCAGGGGGTTCTGAAACGTATAGATTCGTCAAAAACTGCATATCGGAAATTTGACTTGGACCAATGAGTTTGGAGTTAAAAGAGAATTTAATTCGGACCAAGGGAACATGAGAAAATAGCCAACAAAAGGAATGTTAAGGTCTTTATGGATCATGTAATTAGTAACATAATAACAGGAGGCTCAACAATTGGATACGGTAAGTATTCGATAATTTTTTCCCAAAGCTCAATTTCGTATGTCCAAATGGACCTATGAAGGTAGTGTATATAAGTATTTAGAAGCATATTGGAAGTTTCTTGTCGATTCAGCATGAGAATTCCAAGAAAGATATTTATCACGAACTCTAAAGTCTAATGGGTTTGTTTGTCGAATTCAAATTTAAATGTGTAATTCTTATTAACGATTCCTCCAGAATCAAGAAAATTTTATTGAACCATTTAATGTAAGGAACGAAAATTATTATGATGTCAGTCTGAAAAATAGTTTGTTTAAAATAGTAGTAAAATATAACTTCTGAGTCAAAGACATAGCAAGATTAAGAAAAATAAATCTATCTGTCTCGTTGGCAGTACGACCCGAGAGTGGGTCTTGGTCTCATCTAGGTGCTTTCTCCATCCAGTTCGATCCATTGCCTTCCAGATCGATGTTCCAAGTAGTATCTTGGAATCAGCCGCCATGTTTCTGTTCATCTTAGCCTGGGTCTGCCTCTTCTTCTGGTAAAGCCAATCCTATTGTCAAAGACTCGTTTGGGAATTACTCACCGGCCGGTCCAAATTAACCTTCCAAGCATGTTTAATAAAGTCCATGACATTTAAATAATTATACAGAGTGAATAACTCTCGGTTTCTTCGTCTCCTCCAAACTTCCCCTTCTTTTACAGAGGCGTATATTCGTCGCAATTTTTTTCATTCAAATATAAGGAGGCTATTCTCATCGTCCATATTTGTGAGGGATAGGTCAACACCTATAGAAAAAATAAATGATAAATTTTATTTCCCCACAAGGGATGCCACTGTTTGATTAGCGTATTTGGATTAACTTTTTGTTTTATTTATATGTGTTATTTATTATTATATGGCTTTCCTACGATATGATATGCTATTGAAATTCTATGTCATATAGATACTAGATTAATATATATCTTTTTAAATGTTCATAATTAATTATAATTATTTCTCATCTTTAGCGGTTGGTGCTATAGCTGCTTCTGTAAAAGCTGGATCCGGAAGAAATGATTCAATAGCTACGGGGAAAGGTAGTGAATATTGCACCAAGTACCTCAAGTCTCTTGGATATCCTGTGGAAAGGTGCCTCTTCATAGGCGATGGGTACGTGAACTGGTTCAAAAACTTATTTTTTAAAATTAATTTTTATATGAATATTATTAGGAAGTGCAGAAACGTAACTTTATAAATAAAGTTGGCTCTATACACATTGATGAATAAGTGAATGCCTGTTGAATTCTTAAGTGTTTATGTGGGTGTATATCCTTAAATCCAGTAAGCGCGTGAGATGTCACCAAAGATCATTAACACAGTACACCTTATTTTTTGTTTTTATTAGAGTTGTATAATTCCTAATACATACCTCACAGAATCACGTTTAGAATTAAATAATGAAATTTACGCCTAATCATTAATCACTACAACTAAGATTTATACCACGCGTATCCAATTAATTTCATTTTTATCGTTTACTATTATTAAACTTATGACGTCATTTCCTTTTCAAATTCTTTTTACAGTTCAAACAAAAACGTATGGGATGTTGTATAATGACACAAAATAATAAAAATAAATGAAAATATAATAACAAGAATTACATGTTCATTAGTGAAGCTTGTGCAATACTGGAGGCGTTCGAATATGTAATGAATAAAAATATTACAAAATTTGAAGGTATGGACCAGTAACAATTTGCACAAAAAAAAAAGTACAATACTTACCTACCTTCGGTAATGAGGAAGCAAAAATGGAGTAATGTACATGTAGCTGTATCAAAATATTTCACATATGAGCATAACTGGAAATCGACGAACTAATGAAGGAACAAAAGAAGCTGTCGTTGCTCAAAGAATGGACTCGAAAATGCAAGAAAGATTTTCGGAATGACAGAAAATAAAATTGGAATGATGGCTACTATTTAATCAACCAAGCTAAGAATTGGACTCATCAAGCAGATCCATCACCACTTGCTTCTAGGACTACTTGGACCAACATTTCAACATTATGTTGTGATACTGAACATCTCGCTGTATAACAGCTTTTCCTATGTAAACACATCATAAAGAGCGAATTAATATCAAAACTGGAAATGTTTCTCTATATAAAGAAACAAGTGAAATAGAAAAAAAAACATGCTCAAATACACTAAACAAACGAAATTAATTAAATTAAATTTTAATAAACTATATGAAATGCGGGTTATTAGATATTGTTTCTAAAATAATGTTTTTATTGATAAAAAATGTCAGAAAAATCGTTAAAATATTTTCCAACAAATTGAGAAACGGCTATTCTTTTAAATTGTGAGACTCAATTAAAATTAAGGCTATATAAATGTTTGAGAAATTTCCCTCCGTGCTTTCTCGGTAGTTTCTAGTTGATTTCTGGAGGGTTTTATTTATTTTAGCTCCAACTACATTCTTGCTATTTTAATATATGTTGGTGTTGGTGTTGACGATGCTAATGGCTAAATTGGTTGAAAGAACTTACAAGCTTTATTTATACATAAATTTATGTATATATATATATATATATATATATATATATATATATATATATATATATATATATATATATTATTTTATTTTATTTTATTTGCAGGGTACCTAATGACATCCATGCTGGTAACCTAAGCGGAATGGACACTATGTTGACACTTACAGGAGTATGTACCCTGAAAAGCGTTGAAATAGCCAAAGCTAAAAACAAGGAGACCTTCATACCAACATATTATATTAACTCGGTCGCTGATTTAATAAAAGCTTTTAAAATAGAATGAAACTATTATGTATACTAATGTAAATATATTTTTAATCAGTATTGCAATCTGTCTAACATGGCCAAATTATTTTAATTATTTATCAAGCTTGTAAAATTTACTATTCTAAAATAAAATTACAACTAATGAAAATTTAGAAATACGGCGAAATCGCGCAACATTGTATTGAAAAAAATAAATTAGTTTGATATTTTTACTTTTTATGTTTTTTTTTTTGTTATTTTTTAGTTTCTCATTAAACTTTAATATTTTAATGAAGTGTATGTTGTAAGTATACAATTTTAACTATCTATGAAAAGTTAAGTTTACATTATATATTATAAGACTTGGTTTTTTGAATGAGAGTATTGGATGAGACTGAGCCGTCATGCAGGTCTATGTAACGCTAAGTCAGCTCAAGTCGACCAATTTTGCATTTAAATTAAAATATCTTGAGGCGACGCTCTGTTAGAGAGGTCCAAAGAAAAAAAAGATAGTCAAAAAACCTTAGTTTTTAAGGTTAAGTTGGACAGGTACCCTGATGTAAGCAGAGGTGAAAAAATATGGAGCATTAAGGATTTTACGAAGGATTTCGGTTTGTAAGGATTGGATACGGTAGAAATTCGACGGTTCGGTATAACCCCAAAGCTCAACTCTATATTTCCATATAGGTCTTATTATGGTTAAGTTAATGAGTCTTTTGTAATTAATTGAAAGTTTTGAGCGTTTGTCTAGTAAGTGTTGGAGCAATCGGAAACGTTGAGCAGTGTATTGTCGTTTAAGTACAGTATGCGGATTCCATGTGAGACGTTTATCCAAGTGGAGTCCCAGGTAGCGGATTTTTTCAAGAGGAACAAGTGGAATATCATTGAAGGATATTGTAAGACAAGAAGTTGTAGGTTTACGACGAAGGGTAAAGGTAATTTAATGGGATTTATTGGAATTCATTTTTATTCTCCAGTTATGACACCATTCTTCAAGGGTGTGATTGGACGGTTTGGGATGCAATTAAAGGATCATTTTTAACTGACATTATACAAGCGTCATCTGCATAGGTGGACCGTGTTATGATGGATTGGGATATCAGCTGTATAAACTGTATAAAGGATAGGACCGAGGATGCTCCCCTGAGGAACACCAGCAGACTGGGAAAAGAGGGATGAACATGCATTATTATGATTTAGGTGGTAGGCATTTATTAGCAATTTTAAAACTTAAAATCTTAAATTCGTCAAATCTTCAACGGTGAATCGCGATTTTTAAAAACAAAATATTATTCAGTTTCATGTTTTATAAATCTATAAATTTAAACATTTCTCAAGTCAAATTTTGTTTAAATCTTCCTTTCTTCAAAAATTTCGCCCAATAATGTTAACTTGAATTATTAAATTTATATTTATTCAGTTTTTTATTTTTTATTTAAAAGAAAATACAGTCATAGTAACGAAAACGCGTACAGTTATCGATTTTGTTTTGTTTCATTCGAGCCAGAATAAAAAAATTCATATATAATGACCTCTATTTGAGCTACGGAGTCATGTGGCAAAGTACAAAGTAAAAATAAAATAAATTAATTATTAATAGATATTAAAAAAGTAACAATTGTCATATTAAAAACTTATAACATGACATCAGTGATGTAGTGGGTTATAATATAGTTAAAATATATAATCCAAACCATCTTGTTTCTAAACTTGCTTCCTATTCAATTCCTGATAAACCTCCTAGGCGTCTGAAAAGAAAATGGCCTCGTGATCTCCTTATTTAGATACTTTATTAGAGTGCTTCCAATGGGTAGATTCTCTACAAGTCTTGTCATGTCATTTATTTCTTTGTATCACATTTCCTGAATGTACATTAATTTGAACAATTGAAAATTTCATGAATAATAATAAATAAAAAAAACTTACAGAACACTCTGTATAAAAAACCAGGCAATTGAAGTTATATGAAATTTAGTATGATTTATGCTTAGGAGAATGAAAGAAGGTTATTACTTTTTTGGAAGATAGCAAGATCTTAACTGACATAATGTTGATTCAATATTATTGACACCTGTGAGAGACACCTTCAATAATATTAAAAAATAAAAATTCCAAAAATATTTTTTGTTTTATTTATTTATATTTTATTTAACCATCTGTCCTTAGTCAGAGAATATGCTGCGAATAAATCGACTGCGTAAGGACTGAATCGCTAGAACACTGCCAAGGTCATCTGAGATAGTGGGGAGTATGGCTGCAGTGTGCATACAGTCGCGAGTCATCAGACCTCGAATAAACATTACGTTTTCTGTTCTGTTGCTTTCATTTTAAATTTAGTGCAATGGCAAGAAAAATGATAGATTTCTCCAAGCTCAGTCCTAAAGAATTGCAAGAGTTCAGGGACAAATACGATGCTTATATTTTCGACTTGGACGGTAAGCTTCATGTTTTCTTTAAGTGTATAATTTAGAAATGTTTGTGTTGTATGATCCAATGATAAGACTCGTTGACATTTTAAATAACAAATAATTAAATAAATGATTTTCATACCTCAGATCTAACGGAATATCGTACAATAAACGTTGTTTTCTCTCTCGAATTACATTAAACGATTACATTATTCGAAATATAAATGATGTGGGGTCCTTTCGTGCCGAATCATCCAGAACCTTAAACCCATCCCCTCAGATCTTAATGAAAATTTGTAAATATTAAGTAAATATAAAATTAAGTAAAAATACCAAATTATACCCGATTCTGAAAATCATTTATAGAGTTATGGACATTTTGAGGTCAAAACAATCATGTACCCGTAATGTTTTCTTCGTAAAACCAACATATAAAGACCGAAATATTTCAAAATTTGCTCATTTGTCAAAGATTTAATACTCAACCTGTTGATACCATAATTTTTAACATTATAAATTGCCTTCATGTATAAAAAAATTCTTAAACATAAACTTTCAAAATTGTGATAATAATATAGAAAACTACCTGTGACTAAAATCTTTCTCCAAATACCTCAATACAACCAGATATTATTCAAAATAGCATAAAATTGTCTACCTAATTCAAAAATAATATTATTGTTTTTTTTTTTAATTTAAAGAGTTCTATTACACTTTAAACCCAATGCAGTAAATTTAAATGTACCAGCTACAAATACCAGCAAAAATTGCTTAAATCTCTCTCCAAATATCGTAATATAACAATGAGTCATTCAAAAGAGTATGTATATTTTTTTCCATAAAATCAATAAATAAAATATTTATGGAATGAGTTATGTAATACTTGAGTTATAAGGAATTCATTATAATAAAAATCAAATAATTCACTATTAAATGAAAAAATATTATTAGTGTGATTTTCAGTTTGGAATGTTATATTACAATATAAACCAAATATATTTAATAAAATTTAATTTACGAGTTATATATAAGTGAAAATTGCTTTAATCTTCTATACGAATACAACCATATATATATATATATATATATATATATATATATATATATATATATATATTATTTGAAACATCATACAATACTCATCCAATTGATAAAATAACATTGGAGGAGGGCACCGAGTTTAATGCAATTTATTATAATATAAATACAAAACTTTTCATCAAGATCTTAAGTTGGGTGGGTTATGAATTGAACTTTTTCTGAATGATTTCTCATACATTGACGCTGTGTTTAAAGCGAATTTACATTGAAATAACTGTTTGTCATTAATAGCTCTGTGAGATCTAATTATAATCGTGATATGCACAATGTAGTTATGTTGAATATACATATATATTTGTGTATATTATTGATACTAATTTGTATGATAATATAAGATCACTTACGGTAATGTGAGAAAGAGTTATCATTTTCGCTAACGTTTATTTTGCAAGTAAATACTTAATTTGAATAATTTCAATGCTATATCTGCTATGTATTTCATTTCATTTCCACATATACTGGTTAATATTATTTAGACGAATTTAATTTAACATTTACTTCAGTTATTTTATTTTGAACAACGTACGATTTTATATTTAGAAACTGTTTACTTTATTTATTTTTATTAGTTTATTGGTTTATCATATATTTATTTTTACTGCACTTCTTGCTCCAAGGTCCAATTTAACATATAAATGCTAAGATTAAATTAGAAATAGAACATTTTACTAAATGAATGCTTTGTTTATTTATAATACTTAAAAACACAATACAATGAGGCAGAAGCCGTCATTGTTACGTTGGCGGCAGCCAGTAATAACTTTATTTTTAAGAATAAACACCCTTAATTAAGTTGTTTATTTCCAAAATTAACCATAATAATCATTGACAATATTTACGCGAATAACTATATTTTATGTTCTAATTTTAATATTAAAAAAAATATTATTGAAGGGTTTTACTCGACTGTTCTATATATCATGGGTGATAAAATGGGGTCATTTTTTATTATTGCTGAATGGTTTTTATTAGTGCAGACGTTTCATACCAAACATGTGGGTCTTAAACAGGGCGTGGTTCGAGCAATGAAGATATTTAAGTGCTTGAAGGTTGGCACTAATAAAAACCTTATAATGACTGCGTTCCGAATATTTATCACCCACAAAACAAATATCGTTTTTAAAAATGAATTATGAAATTCTTTTTTCTTAGCACATATTTCCAAAAATCTCTGATTATCAGAATAATAATTTTTAAAAATCGAAACTTAAACAGGGTCCCTTTGGAAAATAATTTATCTTCAAGGCCCATTTTTCAACAAACAAATATGGATTAGGTTGTTTTTGGTGGAGAAAAAATGGTGTATGATTCGAAGGAAAAATAACTTTTTGTTAACAATAATGGTCCATGACTTTTTGTGGTGTTTGGTGAACTAAAGATATGTGAGTAGGGCGTTCAATCCTACGTCACACCCTCCAGCAAGTCTGGTGGGCCCCTTAAAAATAAAATAAGGTATCTTAAAAATAAAATAATTGAAATAGAAACTAATAGAATCGAAAATAACGTAAGAGACATGTACAAAGGTATAAACAGATCACGTAATTATGTAGGGCCTGTAACGTCTGGAATTACGGATGATAATAACAATATTCTGACCGATCCGGTTGACATATTGAATAAGTTTAAGGACCACTTTGACAATATTTTAAATACGGGAAATTATGATCTGTGTCCTCCTTCTGAGTACCAGAGTGCTGAACCGTTAATAGAAGGACCAAGTAAAGAGGAAGTTGAAGTAGCTATCGGAAAATTAAAATCATATAAAGCAGCGGGAATCGATAATATTCCTACTGAACTAATTAAGGCATGCGGAGAAGCTGGAGTTGCTAAAATACATCGGTTGGTTAAAAAGATCTGGGCGAACGAGAAATTACCTGAAGAATGGAAAGAATCTATTCTTATTCCGATTCACAAAAAGGGTCCGAGGACGGATTGTAATAATTATCGAGGAATTTCACTCCTTCCGGTATGTTATAAAATATTCACTTTAATCTTAACCAGTCGAATCACGGAATACGCCGAGGAAATTATCGGAGACTACCACTGCGGATTTAGACGGAATCGTTCGACTATTGATCAAATATTTTCTTTACGGCAAATATTAGAGAAAAAATTGGAGTATAACGGTATTGTTCACCAGCTGTATATAGATTTTAAAAAGGCTTACGATTCTATTGACCGCCAGAAACTGTATAATATTCTAATCGAGCAGGGGATTCCAAAAAACTAGTAAATCTAGTCAGGATGTGCTTGACGGAGACACTCAATAAAGTTAGAATCGGTAATAATTTGTCCGAAAAATTTGAGGTTCGTTCGGGCTTAAAACAGGGGGATTCTCATTTCGCCTGTCCTGTTCAATTTGGCATTACAACATGCCATTAGGGAGATAATGCGAACCGAGAAAGGGTTGGATCTGGGCGGGACAACATCCGTGCTGGGCTATGCTGATGATCTGGTACTGTTAAGCGAAGACGTTGAAACTATAAAACTAAATACGACAACCTTAATGAAAGCCGGTAAAGAACTAGGACTCGAAATAAACGTGGATAAAACAAAATATATGGTTAGATACAAAAATGGCAATACTACTGGTGATATCGATATAGATGGTAATATGTTTGAACAGGTAGATAAATTTAGGTATCTAGGTTCTACGATAACTAGAAAAAACGAAATTGAAGAAGAGATTAAGGTTAGACTGAAGGCGGGGAATGCTTGTTATTTTTCTGTGAAAAAACTACTTAGTTCGCGCCTCTTTTCCCGGAACTTGAAAATTATAATCTATAAAACAATTATCGTGCCTACAGTTCTTTATGGATGCGAAACTTGGCCGCTTACATTAAGGGATGAGCAGCGTCTTAAGGTTTTTGAAAATAAAGTATTGCGTAGAATATTCGGACCGAAGAAGGATGAGTTAACCGGAGAGTTCAGACAGTTACACAACGCCGAATTGCGTGAGCTATATCCGGGTAATATAATTGGGTAATTTCATCGCGGCGAATCAAATAGGCTTGTAAAGTTGTTGGGCTTAGTAACGAGAGAATTCCTAAAAGGTTAATATTTGCTGTGCCGAATGGTAAGCGTCCGAGGGGTAGACCGAAGCGAAGGTGGGAAGATTGCATTAAAGCCGATCTGAAGGGACTGGGTTTGGACGGCGAACGGTGGAGGGAGGTGTGTAACAAGCGATTGGTGGTGTCGGCATCGAACCTTCGGGTTCGCTAAGCCTTATTATTATTATTAACAATAATGGTAGAATAAACAAAAAAATATTCTTAATTATAACTAGGGCGTACCCTCCCCCAATCCACATAACGGCGAACCTACCCCCATTTTACGAATTCTAAAACTGTTCATTTAATTATACCACTAGTTGCGCAAACTGTATAAAAAAATTAATTTCTTTAAAAATCTATGTAATATATCGCGCCTTATTGGCAATTTATACTATTCTATAAATATGATCATTCTTATTGCATGAAATGTAACCAAAATAAGGTAGAAATAATTCCGTATCCATTACAGTCCGTCCCGCTTCGAACTAACTTAAAAGAAATTGGGGAAAATCTAAGACTAAAAAACAAAAAAAAATGTTTTCCTACGTTGTCACAAGACTCCCATTAAAGTCCTATACTGAAAAACAAATTTAGTTTTTATCAGGATAATGAACCTAAACATTCTGCCATGTAAGTTAAGAAAATGGCTACTTTATAACTACTCCAAAGTTATAAAAACTCCACCACAGTGTCCAGATCTCAGTATGATTTGAAAACCTCTGTTCGAAATTGTAGTAGAAAATAAGCATTACTAATTTTATATCAAGGAAGACTTTGAAGAAATATCTTCTCCAAGAGTGGAAAAAGCTAAGCCCAGCATTCATTAAAATAATGGTTGATTCCATTACAAATAGACTGAAAGAAGTGAGGTGTAATTTGACTGTGAGGTAAAATTTATAATTTTTTTAAACAGTTGAATATTTTAATTTTATTGAGTTGAGGCCATAAATAAAACTGTTTTATTAGTTTGCTATAACCATATAAGTATTTTTTTTCTCTCGGTATGTTTCAATTTCACCGCGAGCTACTATATATAGTATTTTTTTTTTTTTTTATAAATAGTGTAATGAAAAAAGTAATGAATATCATGACAATTGTTTTATTATAACGACACATATTTAATGATTATTTATTACTTTTACTTTTTAAAGGTTGCCTGATTCATATTGAAGCAGGCCCCATTGAAGGTATGCAAGATGCAATCAAAGAGATTTCTAATAGCGGAAAGTCAATCCATATCTTGACAGATAACTGTTTAAATACATCAAAAGATATCGCTGATAAAATAGCCAGCCTTTTTCCTTCAGTGAAAAGGGTAACTTAATTCACTGATATAAAAATTCAAAATACAAGAAATATATTCATAAGCGATAATAAAACATGAAAAATAAAATATATAATATCATAAACTTACGAGGGGAGGTTTTAGCCAGTGGGTCATCGCTTTCAATCATTTTTTTTTTCGGTGACAACGTCGAAAAATATTGGACACATGTCCCAGGGGTTCGTTCCAACGGGCTCCAGGAAAAAAAAATCCAAACAAAATTTATGATATTTATTTATGCCTTTTCTTTGCCAGAATATTAAGGTTATTATATATCAATTGATTTCTTTTTTTTTTGCGTAGAATAAGTTTTTTTCTTTACAAGACTACATTTCGAAAACGGGTTGTCTCTAAGATTTTATTCTCAAATGATAAATCATAATCCTTGAAATATAGCTATTTATATGCACAATAGATGGTGCATGTGTTATGGAAATAAAAAGAAAAAATTCAGATGACAAAAAGACCATATCAATGCTCAAATTGGTATTATGGGTCAGAAGCTTGGACCATAAACAGCAACCTCAGGAAGAAACTTGAAGCCACCGAAATGGACTACTAGAGACGAGCGGCTTTAGGATGGGTAAAGTCAGAGATACGACCATCAGAGAAATGATGGAGGCTAAAAGAACCATTCTGGAAGAGATTGAGATAAAACGCCTGAACCGGTGTGGACATTTAAAAAGAACGCGTGAAGGAAGTCTACCCAAAGAAGTCCACTTATGGAAAACTAGGGAAAGAAGAAGACGAGGAATAAAAAAGGATAACGAAGTGGAGAAATCCATGATGGGTCATGGTCTACGGGAAGAATGAGCCTTAGATAGGACATTATGGAAAGAAGCCATTCAAGGTTTAGGTTACGGCAACCCACTATTAGTAGAAACTCCTAATAAAAAAAAAAGTAAATAAAATAAAAATATTTATATATACTCAATATCCTTTTTATATACTCAATAAAAAGGATGAGGAAGCTATATTGCTAACGCCCGATGTTTTATTTCTTCTTGCTCGATTACAATTTTTTTTTTTATTAAAAATAATAAAACAAACCTTAAAACATTTTGAAGTATATTATTGTATTGAAGAATGGATATACTGTTTTACAGATTTAAATATAGTTGACACATGTATCCTGTCAGTTAATAATGATCCAACAATTGCATCCTAAACTCTTCAATCGCATATCACAAACCTTGAAGAATGGTTTCAAAACTGGAGGATTAAAATAAATTCCAATAAATCACATCAAATCACCTTTATCCTTCGTCGAAAACCAATGACTTCCAGTCCTACAGTATCTTGTAATAACACCCCACTTATCCCTGTAGAACAAATCCGATACCAAGGACTCCAGCTGGACAAACGTCTCACTTGGAATCCTCATACAAGATTGAAACGACAAGAAACTGCTCCGCTTCCGCTTACTCCAACACTTACTGGACAAACGCTCTAAACTTACAATTAATTACAAACGACTCATATACATACATATACCTGGGGCTCCAACAAACCATCAAATTCCTCTTCTTTACTCCAATCTTTACAATCCAAAATCCTTCGTAAAATCTTCAATGCTCCTTACTTTGTCACAAATAAAATAATCTATGAAGACCTTAATGTTCCATGTGATTCCGATTTGGCCCAATCCAGATACCTATGCTTCCATAATAAACATCATAACCATCCGAACCCTCTTGTTTCCAACATTGCTAACTCTCCGAGGCGTCTCTTCATGAAGTGATCTCTTCATGTAGACAAATTATTAGAGTGCTACCAATGGGTAGTTTCTCAACAAGCGTGTTTCATGTGATTATATTCCTCTGTACACATTTACTTGATGTATTCATACTAATACAATTGTAAATATCATAATAAAAGTTAAAAAAAATAAAGTTATTGTATAAATTGGTTTATATGTCTTCAAATTTTTGTTTAGCTACCTACAGTATTCTTTATTAAAATACTCCCATATCTATTTTGAACAAATCCAATACCTAGGCCTCCACAGAGACAAACGTCTTACTTGGGATCCTCATAATATATTGCAAAGATAAGAAACCACACAACGTTTCCGAATACTTCAACACTCAATAGAGAAACGCTCTAAGCTTCCAATTAATTACAAAGGATTCATGTATACGACTATCATATGGCCTATTTGGACTCACGCAGTTGAGCTTTGAGGCTAACTAAACCATCGAATTCCTCTCCCATCTAAACCTTATAATCCAAAATCTTTTGTAATCTTATGCTCAATGTTTCTTACTTTGTCACATATAAAATCATTCATAACGATTTTAATGTTCTATAAGTTTCAGATTTGGTCCAATCCAGACACCCATCCTTCCATATCTAATTTCAGAACCCTCTCGTTTCTAACCTTTCTCCTTCTTCGATTCCTGATAACCCGCCGAGGCGTCTGAAAAGAAGATGGCCTTGTGATCTACTTATGTAAATATATTATTAGAGTGCTACCAATGGGTAGTTTCTCAACAAGTGTTTTCATAGTAGCATATTCCTCTGTTCACATTTACTAGATGAATTTTTATTTTTAATACAGTTGTAAATATCATGAATAAATTAAATAAAATGTTTAGGAAAATGTCATGTGTTCTGGAAGTCTTGCAGCGAGATATCTGAGAGATATTGATTTTAAAAAGAAGATATACGTCATAGGATTCGAAAAATGAATAATAACAGAATTAAAAGATGAAGGATTTGACGACCTACATGACGAAGAAGCAAGTATTATGTTTAAAGTTTATGAATTTTGGTGTAAATTTATCATCTGTTGTGTACAACTTTTAGTGAATTCGGTTTGTAGGTTGTTTCGATGTTATAGGCGCAAAACATTCATGACCTTAATACTCCATTGGTCCTGGACCTTATCCCTGGAAATTTTTCCAAATTCCATCAGAACGTTATAAATCATACAAATCCCCTTGCACAATCCCTGTCCAGTTTCACTCATCCCTACAATCCTCATCGAAGGTTGAAGCGGCAGTGGCCTAGAGGTCTTTTATAGTATATATCCTGAAGTTCTGGTAATGCCCAAATTCTCCACTCAAGACATGAGACATGAGTGGCTAAAGCGTTCTCGCTCAATCTCCAATGGCTTTTGCACCAGTGACGCGGTTGAGAGAGTAGTCCAGGGATCCCTTGGAATCCTGATTTTCCTCGATAGTTGGAGGGACAAGCTGGGATTAGGTTGCCATCCTGATTGTATATATTGTATATAGGTATGACTGATTTTTCACTTTTTTAATTTACTTATCATTAGGTTGTTTTATTTTTTATTGTACATAGTTATTGATTATTATTTTAATTTTGTTAATTTTATGTTCTCTGTATATATGGTGTGAATGTGCTTAGATCTCACTATAATTATTAATCACGTGACAGATTATTATACTTCTAAATAAATTTAAAAAAAGAAGAATAGTAAATAGTAAATATAATTCAATTTTTCTAATCTCTTTCTCATTTCAATAAAATTAGTAAAATAATATATCATAATTTTAATTCATCATAAGTTAAACATCAACTTTCCATAACATATATCATCTAGCAGGTGAATTTTCAAACTAAGTAAACGGTAACTTCGAAATTCTTATTACAGTTCCATACATTTATTTGTTTTTTTTAAATACTCAACGTTTAGAACTTAGGTATTCATACTTTATTCACGAATATAAAAAACTTGATGATGTTGAAATTAAAAGTTCGACCTTTCATGATTCCATTTATTTTGATCGCTATCTCATCATTTTCAAGAACATTACCATCAGCTATTCCATAGATAATAATAAATATAATGTGTAGAGAACAGAACCCCTACCAATCTTTTATAATTATTTCAGGTAAAAAAATTATGCATTAATGATTTGAGAACTGCAAAATTTGAAGAAGATGTGGGGGCAGTATTAGTCGCTGGGGACCTTAACTTCAATTACCTCAAAATGTTCAAGGCAGCCAACTACTTAGCAGATCCCAATGTATTATTGATACAGGCCCATCTTCCAGACATTGTGTCATGGGATCCGGTTGTACCAGGTAAGTACTCAACGTTTAGAACTTGAGTATTCATACTTTATTCACGAATAAAAAAACTTGATGAATTTGAAATTAAAAGTTTGACCTTTCATGATTCCAACAAACGGAAAAAAAAACATATTGAAACACAAACAGTTAAGTACAAAGAACCGATAATCCGAAAAAAAAATAGTAAAATATATTCCCCACTAGGGATGCCAATTCTTTGAAGTGGCTTATTGACGGTGAATCAATTATTTTGGTAATCTTTCTTTATGTTGATTAATTATATTGAAACGACAAGAAACCGCTCGACGTTTCTGATTACTTCAGCACTTACTAGACAAACGCTCTTAACTTCTAATTAATTACAAAAGACTCATATCCATGACAATAATAAAAGCGATTTGGACTTACGGAGTTGAGCTATGGAGCTCCACTAAACCATCGAATTCCTCTCTTATCCAATCCTTACAATACAAAATCCTTCGTAAAATCCTTAATAGTCTCTACTTTGTTACAAATAAAACCATCCATAATGACCTCAATGTTTCTTATGTTTCAGATCTGGCCCAATCCAGATACCTATCCTTCCATAATAAAGTTCAGAATCATCCCAACCCTCTCGTTTCTAACCTTGCTTCGTCTTCAATTCCTGATAACCCTGCGAGGCGTCTGAAAGGAAGATGGCCCCGTGATTTCCTAATGTAGACATATCATTAGAGTACTACCATTGGGTAGTTTCTCGACAAGTTTTTTCACGTCATTATATCCATATGTTCAAATTTACTGAATGTGTTTCTTTAATACAGTTATAAAGATCATTAAGAAATAAAAATAAATTATATTGAATTTTTAGTATAACGGATTATTCTTTCTAAATGGTACAGAAATTGAATTTATCTCATAAAAATGTTAAATAAAATATTTATAATTTATTTCAATTTACTTTTCCTCTTTAGGAGTAGGCGCTATGGCATTAGCTGTAAGAGCTGGGGCGGGAAGAAAGGAGATGATTGCTCTGGGGAAAGGGAGCGAGTAATGCAGCAAGTACCTCAATTCTCTTGGGGTTTCAGCCGAAAGGTGCCTCTTCGTGGGTGATGAGTAAGTGAACTAAATCCAGTATTTATCTTTTTGTATTTTAATGTATACTTAAATCCAAAGAAAAAAGAGTAAATTTGAAATCTGCAGAAAAAAACATAGACATACAGTAGATTATTCCATACAAGAAAATACAAAATAACCTGACAGCTATTTTTAAAACAAATATTCAGAGCGTTCCTTGGTATATTAAGTAAAAATTTCCTCAATAATTTCATCTTAACAAGATTTATCTCTGATTTATTTTATACTATGTTAATTGAAGAGTACATTAACTCTTCAACACGTCCAAATTTAACCACCTGTTCGAGATACAGTCCTCTTTTTATCAAATTATTAATATCAGCCCAAAACTTCATAAATGTCTTCATCTTATCGTAACTTACAACTATTTATTTATGAAAATAGTTTTAATTATTTGATTAAAATTAATCAATTTCATGAGGTACTAAAAGCTCATGAATACACGTTTGCTTTCCATGTCCAAAAGTATTGGACCATTTGTCCTACATGACTTCGTTAATTTGGCATTACGGAGATGGATATTACACCAAACAGCTCGATATTTTTGTGGGCATTTTTTTTCCATGACTTCGGAGTAAAACATCATACGATTCAAGTGTAAACCAAATGGGTGTTCATGATTTCTTAGTACTTCATTAAATTGGCAAAGTTTAAATAGTTACAGCATGTTTATTTACAAGAATTCTCGGAAATAGAGTTTACCTATCTCTAGATTGAAAATGCCACATTTTCGAGAATTGTCGTCAATAAAAAGAGCAATGGCCAGCTTCTCCACTCAAGTCATGAGAGTAAGTGGCTTTAGTGCCCTCTCACAGTCTCCACTGGATTCCCATCCTAGTGATGCGGCTGAGAGAGAAGCGCTGGGATCTCTTGGAGTCTTGCCTTATCCTCCACACGTGGGGGAAAAGGCCCGACTCGGAGCTCTCTCGGCTGACTGTAAATATTGTAAATAAGTTTGAATGTGTTTTTATTTATTATTTTAGTTTTTATTTAATGTTGTATCAGTTTGATTTATTCTGTTACTCCAAGTTTTATTTTATTTTATTTTCTTATAATCTTGTTGTTCTTTTATTGTATATATGGTATGATTGTACTTCATTCATCATAAATACTCAATGCCCTTAATTGAGGCAAAATGTATTTTTTTTTTTCTCAATACAAATTGTTATACAGTAAAAAAAAAAATAAAAAGAGATCTAGGTTTCGATAAAATGAAAATTGACAAAGATGGATGTTGATATAAATCTTGAAGAGGCGAAATAAAAGATAAGATCCACTTTTTGGTTCCATATATTTTATAGTTTAGTTGCCAATAGCTATTCGGGAAACTAATGGATTTGTTGATAATATCCTTCATAAATATATATATTTTTTTTATTATTTTATAATTATTATTTTTACAGCCTATTAAGTGACATGGCGGCCGGTAACATGAGCGGTATGGACACAATGTTGACAGTATCAGGAGGAATGTGTGGCCTGAAAGATGTTGAATTAGCCCGGGTACAAAATTTGGATCTTTGTGTACCAACATATTACACTAATTCGGCCGCTGACTTAATCAAAGCATTCAAAATTTAGTATCAATACTTACAATTTTCATTCATATAAATACTTTATTCAATCAGTGTTTTATACATTTATTAAAATTTACAATAATCAATATTTTGTTTATATAAATTACATGAGCTCTGCTTATTTAAAAAAAAATTAATTTGTGAAAATAAACTAATTTTAATTGTCAAAAATTGTATTTTTTAAAAATTATATTGGTGTTAATGAAAACGTACCCTGTGATTATTTATTTTTAACCCAAATGTAAGCATTTTATTTTAATAATTATTTATTCGTCAATATACTAAGATTCGTTTTTGGGGTTTCAGGACGTTCTGGTGTTTTTTCCTAGTAAACAGCAAAAAGTGGCTTTTCCCTACTGCTTCCTTGGTAGGAGCGAATTCTGCTGTCAATTTTCAAGAAGAAGAAAAGTAAATTTAATATAACAGGTTTACAATTTATGATTTGTAGGATTTAGGAACTTACAAGTTATTAAACAAGGCCATTGAGAATAAATGAAACATCGCATATTTCATTTGGTGAGATCAGAATATGCGTCAGGATAAGAATGACCAGAGAAGCTCTTAATCACATTTTCAAAAAAAGAAAAGTTGTTCTTTTGCACCGTGACTGTTGATATATAATTTTGTGGGCTAAGTTCTCAGGTTTAAATAACGAACAGATGGACAAGGAGTAAAACAAAAGAGTAACGAAGCAGGGAAGCCGAACGGAACTAAAGTACTTATGAAAAAATAATTACGAGTTCGCGTCCCGGTACCGGAGGGAAGGTAAATTTTGCCATTAATCCCTCGCTCTCACCTCTGGTTCGGGAAAAACCTCGTTTTGCCTACAAGGCAGGAAAAAGAGGACCAAAACAAAAATAAGAAATTAAAAGATAAGAAGGTTATTTGGTTTCAAAAGTTATAGGAAAACACTAACGAAATATTGTTGTTGGAAAATTTTATATAGCTATTTAAACTCGGCTTACCAACTGCCGGCATGCGAGCACCTGCGGCTTTAAAGATGAATTTAATGAAACGAATTTTACAAGAGTTAACTATTTTTACATTACAAATCATACGCGATTAAAAAATTAATTGATCTTTAATTATATCACATGACACAATATCGTTTTTGTTCAAAATATTTCTTTGGTAATGTTCAATGATTTCTTCAATAGTAAATTTATAGTTTATAAATCAGCTGATTTCTTGATGTTGAAATGATATACGTAATCGGATCGCGATGGCTTCTAGAACAGCAGTTGAACGGACTACGTCCGCGCTAAAAGCTATTTCTTCCTACCGTTATATTAATTTTAGTGACAGGGCGACGGCCAGAAAAATGATTGACTTCTCAAAGCTGTCTTCTTCGCAACTCTATGAGTTCAGGAACAGATATGATGCTTATATATTTGACGTTGACGGTAATTTATCATCACTTAATTGAAACTTAATACTAGCCTTATTTCCTATGTAGATTATCTACCGAGCGAGGAATAGGTGCTGAAACATAACTTTTTTTCTTGGCGAATAAAACCAATTATTTTTTAATCCGAAATTTTTATTTGTCAGTTATTTTATCAGTTAGATGACGCCTCCCATTTTCCATACATTAAAGATGCCGATTTCTGGAGTCTGTCATGACCCTTACGAGCATTTATCTATCTATCTACGTGGCGCTACAACCCTGGGTGAGTCTTGGCATCCTCAATGAGCCGCTGCCATTCGACCCGATTTTGTGCTGCCGTTTTCGAGCTTCAGATCTGTAGCAGGCTACGTGCGTCTGCTGCCACTCTATGAAACCATCGAAACCTTGGCCTACCAGGCCGTCGCATACCATGAAGGGCGGTGTCCACCACTTTTCTAGGAATTTCTTCCGCTTCCATCCTTGCGACATGGCCAGCCCAACTGAGCCTCCCCAGTTTTATAAACTTTACAACGTCCATGTCTCCGTAAAGGTCATAAAGCTCCCTGTTCCTCCTAATCCTCCATCAATCTCCATCTTCTCACTGGCCAACTATTCGCCGTAATATTTTTCTTTCGAAAATCAAAAGATTATTTTCATCACTTCTTGAGATAGTCCAAGATTGGGAAGCATATTTAAGAACTGGGCGTATAGGAGTCTTGTATACGACCAGTTTTGTGCCCCTGGTAATGGATCTGCTGCTGAGAGTTTTCATTAAGGCAAATAATGCCCTATTGGCTGCCACCAGCCTTTTCCTTATCTCAGCAGAGACATCGTTTATTGGAGTTACTAGAGATCCCAAATACGTAAACTCGTGTAAACTCACATGTGTATAAGCCAACACTCAGCGGCTCGTCGCCACCAGTTTCTGTGTACATATATTTCGTTTTATTCTCATTTATGGCCAATCCCATGGCTGAAACAGCTTCCATGAGTTTCCAGATATCCAGATCGTCAGCGGATTCCAATATCTGTACAGTACGGGTCAATATCGTAAGGTCCGCCTGGTTCCTGAATTCCGTACAGCTTTCTGCAGTGCAAAATTGAAGAGGATACAGGCCAGTCTATCCCCCTGTCTTAATCCTTTGTTGGAGGGAAATGCTTCAGAGCAGTCAGACTGGATCCGTACCTGACACCTTACATCTTTCATTGTCAACTTCACGAGACGTATCAGTTTGCATGGGATACCCATTTCCCATAACGCCTCATACAGTTCAGGTCGCTTGATGCTGTCGTATTCAATCTTAAAGTCGACAAACAGGTGGTGTGTACGGATTTTATATCCATGACACCGTTCCAAAATTGTCCTAAGGGTGAACACTTGATCAACAGTTGATCTGACTTTCCGGAAGCTGAATATTTTAAGATTTCCCGTTCCGCAAATGGGGCAAGTCTGCTGAAAAGGATATTCGAGAGGATTTTGTAGGCAAAAGACAACAGGGCTATGCCACGGTAGTTCGTCCCATCAAGGTGGTCTCCTTTCTTATGGAGAAGACATATTATAGCATTAGTCCACTATCATTTTCATAAAAGTAGAGTTTCATAAAAGTATTCCTTTTTGACGGAACGTTCAAGTGTAGTTAGAGGAATGTATATGCATACCATACTAATTCAAGTGTTTATTTCAAGCCTCCAAGATTAACTCAACTTTAACATGCAACTTATAGGCCGTAGTACAGACCCCTTTTTATTATTAACATCCGCCTGTAACTTTGTAAATAGTTTCATCTCATCGTAACCTACAACTATTTTATATACGAAAACTCTTGGAACTGGGGCGTTTTCAATCTGGAGGGGACAAGCTTTGTCTATTTAATTAGGTTCTAAAAACTCGTTAATACTCATTTGCTTTTCACTTTGATCATAAGATAATTTGATCACAGAATAGAGAAAAAAGGTGGCCTTCAAAAATAATGAGCCGTTTGGCGTGACCTACACCCCCAAATTTTCAAAATAACGAATTTATATAGGACAAACGGCCCAATATTTTTCTAGGCCACCTTTTTTATTGATTTGGTGTTCAAATTATGTTACGATCAAAGTAGAAAGCAAATGGGTATTTACGAGTTTTTATTATTATTTTAAATAGACAAAGTTTGTTCCCATCCAGATTGAAAACGGCCCAATCGCAAGAATTTTCGTAAATAAAATAGTTATAGGTTATGATGAGATGAAACTATTCACGAAGTTTCAGCCGATGTTAATAATTCGATAAAAAGGAGTCTGTATCACGGACTATAATTGTTCTATCCTATTTTCATAACGCCAACATGACCATCATTTCCTATTCCGTTTATTTACTTAGTGAAAAAGGGATAACGATAAAAGTTAATCAATCTAAAGTTATAAACAAATATTTTTATAACTATTTTAGGTTGTCTAGTTACATTAAGGAATGGTCCTATTGACGGAGTTAATGAGGCCCTTTGCGAAATAGCTAGGAACGGAAAAACTCTTATGGTTCTCACGGACAATTGCTTGCATACATTAAACGCTATATCTGCCAAAGTTAACGGACTTTTTCCTGCCATAAGGAAGGTAATTTGGACCCTTAATTATAGTATAGGTTTTTAAGATCACTGGTCCATCACTCAAGGATTTGGTTTTGAGATTTACTATTATGTTCCAAGATATATTTGAATAAAGTCGAAACATTGGAAGATATAAAGTTAATGTTAAAATTGTTTCATGGCTTTTGAGAACCTATGCTATATTTCAACTGAAATATTTTTATTTTCACTTACCTATTCAAAAGTAAATAATTAGGGCAAGTATTTCGATCTTGAAAACTTCCAATCCGAGTTTTCAACGTAAATAAATATTTTTCATCAAAATAGACCAATCAGAAGTGGCATTTTATGTAATCGAAGTTAATAATAAATAATAATAATAAATTTTATTATTCCTCTTTCCACTTCCTCTTATGTAGGAGTATCTATATCTACTCGTATGGTGATAAGTGGAAGTTGTGTGATGCGCGAGATAAAAGACAATAGCCTTTGTAAATACAATTCTTTGAATATTGCTTTATCCTTGTTTCCAGTCACATGTTTTTCCAATTAAGCACGCTCGCTTTGACCACTGAGTTATAGTATCCTGTGACACTTGTCGGTGGGAATAGTTGGGCATCTTGACCATTTGGTATATTTATATGACGTGCATCCGCCCTAATTCTAAAAGCTGTCAATGTCACAATCCCGAATATCAGGCAATTGTCCATCGGATTCCTTTTGAACTGCCAAGGCTTCCGCCCTTAGAGAAGTTTTATTACTTTACTTCTGAATATCCTTTGTCCAGTATCCCTACCGGCACCTACCCCTAGTTGGTTCCTAGAAACCAAGATAACGCCTATCACCCCCTCTCCTACTCCGGCCAATCCTATCCCCACGCCAGATTTGGGCTATATTACCGCCCTTAATCTTAGAGAAATTCATTCCATTCAATTCCATCATTCCATCTGTAAATATCACTAGATGTAACTTATGTAACATTAGTTTAGGCCTCACAAGGCTAGTTTGTAAGAAGTTCACTAAGATTATGTCAATATAACTTTATATTTTACAATAAAAGTATATTTCAAAGTCTTCACTGTTGTACGAGTTCGTTAATTCGCGTATCACACCAGATCTAATATTTTATGTATAGGAATGTGTCATGAACAGTGGATATCTTCTAGTGAAGTACCTCAAAGAGATCAATTTTAACAAAAAGATATACGCCGTGGGATCGGAGCATGGAGTGATTACCGAACTGAAGGAGAACGGATTTGATGTTTTACACGACGAAGAGGCAAGTAGTAGTCTAAAATTTTAAGACATCATAAAAAATTTCTTCATGGCTTGTTCTTCTGATTGTACAACTTACGCATATTTGTGGTCATAATTTTTTTTCATAGGCTCTTCAAAAAATTCCGATACATCTGGGAGTCGTAATACAACTGATTTATTGCAGCTAAGGAAGATGACCGTTCCGGAATTGATAAAAGTCAAATTTGAAGGTGGTGTTGGAGCAGTTTCGATCGCAGGAGACACGAACTTCAACTATTTCAAAATCTTTAAGGCAGTCAACTATCTGGCAGATCCAGAAGTATTGCTGCTACAGACTCATTTACCCATCCTTGTGCATATGAAGCCCATATTACTCGGTGAGTACAAATGAGTTTTTCTAAATATATACATATATAAATATATATATATATATTTATATATAATATATATTATTATACATATAATATGAGGCAGATTTGTAGGAAGGGGTATAAATGTCAGAAGGACGAGATGTTATATATATATATATATATAACATCTCGTCCTTCTGACCTTTATACCCCTTCCCACAAATCTGCCTCATTTCAACACTCCTTTATTGTCCGCTCCACCACTTTTTGGAATTCTATCCCACTTAAAATCCGCCATGCACCATCCTTATTCATATTTAAAACCCTCTTGTTATAATTCCTCCTTACAATTCAATCAGACGTTGGTTAGCCATTTATCATGTAACAAAATTGCATTTTTCTCTATGTATCATTTATATATATATACTCAAACCATTTTTTAATCCATAAACATATGTTTATTATTTAACATTTATTATCAACATTAACCGATAATTCTAGATAAATTACTCAAGAATTTATAACTTTGGTTATACTCAATATTTTGTTTTTATTTAAAGCAAATGTTTTAAGTCAAGCAAACCTTAATATCATGTCAAACTATCAAAAGTCTACGATAAGCCATTGCTGAGCTTACTCCTGACAAAAGTTCGTTGCAATGCGGACATACTGACAGAATTTTTTTTTTTTTAAAGTGGATTTGGTGTCTGCAATGTATGAAACGAAAAAATATCATAAAACTCGTCGATTCTATTCAATGTACAGACAAAATCTTTATTTTATTTATATAGATTTCTTGGTGTGAGGAAGTATGGCTGGTGTAGCAATCTTCACATAGTATTGTGAATAATATATACATAATATACACATTGTGAATAATATACACATTTTGAGAAGAAACTTGAAAGAAATTGTGGATATTTCAGGCTTAAAAACAAATTTTGTTTTTATGAGAATTATGACCTCAAACACTCTCCCATGTTAGTTAAGAAAGCACTACTTTATAACTGCTCCCAAGTTATAAAAACACCACCACAGCCACCAGATCTTAACGTGATATAATACCTGGTGGAAAAATTGGTGACAGACATTAGAAAACACGAAATTTCTATAAGACTTTTAAAAAATATCTTCTCGGAGAATGGAACAGGCTAAGCCCGAAATCACAAAAAAATTGGTCGACTCAATAATAAACAGACTGACAGGAGTGGTAGAAAATAATGCCTAATAGGTGTTGAAATAAATTAATAGTATTTAAAAGTTAATAAGAAATGAGGTGTATTATTTTGAATGTGAGGTAAAATTAACCAGTTTTTCTTTTAATTGTTTTAAAGTAATCACAGTTGAATATTTTAATTTTAGTGAGTATATTTAGATTTGTTGAGTTCAGTTGGATTTGTTAGACGCCATTTAGTAGTAACGATGTCTTATTGAAAAATTAACATAGCAATTTCATCTAATCAAACCCGACAATTTACCAATTAAAAATTGATTTAATCAGCAGAGATGTAAACTGCGGCGTCCATCTTTAGCAATCTGAACATGTTCAAAATTAAATAAACATATTAGTTTATTTAAAATAATGACATCATTGTAATTAATTGATAAAATAGTCAATAAATAACAGAAGTGATTCAATGTAATTAATTTTTAAATAGACCTAAAAATAAAAAAAAAACTTTTGAAGAAGTTCCAGTATCACCATGATTTTTATTGTCGATAGTTTTTCAATTCTTTTAGAACTAGAAATTTTTCACTAATAACTTTTATTTCTAATATTTTTTAAAATGCTGTAGAAATTGACTTTTATTCATACGCAATCAAACGACACATAAGAATCATATTTAAATTCATTTAAGAGAAATTCCAATTCCAACCCAAGCTCAATTATTGTTTATTTTTCATTTAATGACATTTTTTAAAATAATAATATATAATAAATGGCATAGAATATTCTAGAAAAGAACCTTTTAGAAATAATATATACGATGGTGCCTCGCTATTAAGATTTTTATTCATTCATCTATGTTTTAAATACTGATAAAATAATAAACCACGATAGTTTAATAATGACGAACCAACGGTTTCTAAGTTCGTTATCCGTGAAAGCTCATATAATTATGTTCGGTGTCGCTGTTTCTGGAACATTGATAAAAAATCTTCATATCCTCAGAGCTTGTTGCAGGCCACGTACTGACCATGTGAGAACCATTCTATTCCGTGTATTACAAAGATAAAGTAAACTTACTGGGCCCTAAGCTTACTAAACCTCACACCTAAGTCGAGCTTCTGAAGCTAGCTATCCGTCACGTACTGTACATTCATCGGATCACCGGATAGCTTAGCAAGGTAGTGTATTTCTAAAAATATGAAATATGGAATAATAAATATAGGATTAAAGCAAACCAAACAAGGAAGTTTTTCTAAAAGTGGGCTTTCTATAGACTAATTTGAGTGTTAGAAACAAAACCTGGAATTATCAATGGTTTTACAAAAAACAGGACTTTTTTATAGGGTCTAGTTTAGCCGCTTAAAAACTAGATTAAAACAGATTTAACAATGACAAACTCTATTTAAATTAAATATTGGCTAAGGATCGGACATACCCGAATTAGCCATGCGTATTTAACGAGAAATGATACTCCACCTCAATGCATTTTCTGAGGGGTACATCTCACAGTGAACCATTGACCGAATGCTATGTATCTTAGGACCAACATCTGTTCTGAAACAGCTTCGAAGAATCGCTCCAAAAGAAACCTAATGCTATAAAAAACTAAATATTGTTTATTAAGAAAACCTTAAACTATTTCTCAAAATTTACCTCAAAGCTAGTAAAGTTTTAATATTTTCATAAATTCATAATATATGAATCAGTATTCAGTTCTTAATTGCACTAAATAATTTCTAAATTTATTGTGACCTGTTTGTATTTTATTAGTGTTTTTAACTTTAACTTTAATCGTATTTGTTAACTTTTTTTGTTTTACTTTTAACCTTTTATTTTCAAACTGTATCTGTTTTCTCTTATTCTAACAACATTTATCTTTTAATTGTAATTGTTTTTGTTGATCTGTCTTCTTTAAATCGTTAAAGTTTTAATTTTAAATTGTTTAGTTTTTAATCCTTAACTTTTGATCTTTTAATCCTTAAATTTTAATTTTTTTAGCATCTTGCGAGAATCTGTCGTCTGACTAGACCTGATAAATGCCTGAACGCCGACAAAAATATAAATAATTATAATTTATTTATTTTAAAACATTTGTTTTCTTACTGATCACTCCCACCAATCTTCTCTTTAATTAAACAATCTTTATTAATTTTTCTACTTTCAATCTTTAACTCTACTAAACTCTTAATTGTACTAGTTAACTTCTATTCTTTTAATCTTTAAATTCACATTTTAATTGTTTTTATTAAATTTTCTTCATTTAGCTTTAACTTTTTAAAAAACTTTTCTTGCTTTAATTTAATTGTAATTTATATTCTTCTTATTTTGCCACCTCATTAGCGCCATCAGCGCGGAGGAACAGCCTCGGCCTATCGTGTCCACTGATCTCTGTCAGTCTCCCTCCTCATATCCACCATGGTGCTACCTCTGGCTCACCCGAGTATCTCCAGTAGTCACAATACAACAGCCTAGATCTGCCTCTAAGTCGCCTTTCCTCTGGTTTTGCTTCTAGGAACCATTTTTCCTTTCTGCAATCACCATCCGGTACATATGGCAAAACCACTTCAGTTGACGCTCCTCCTTGACTTGTTTTACAGGCCTTATGTTCAGTTCTTCCTTTATTCTCTTGTTTCTTCCTGAGGTATCACATTTCTATGGCCGTTACTTTACTCGCATGTTTGTCCAGGACCGTCCAACTCTCTGCACCATAAAAAATGACAGCCAGAAATACTGTTTTAAACAAAGCTATCTTTGTTTTCTTCTTTACCTCCTGTTTCCATATTATTGTAGCGCAGATGAAGTAAGACACAACATTTGCCTTCTTGATTCCGTTTAAAACTTTCTGGTCGATCCTTCCATCTCTGCTGTATTGGTTGTTATCTATCATATCTAACGGCTCATTATTACATTTTATGAGAACTTGGTCTTCCACATCTCGGCCGAAGAGCATCACTTTACTTTGAATAGGGTTTATTTCCATTCCATTCCTCTGGAATTCTTCTTTGCCTTTCATTGACAGCCATTTGAAGCCTTTCTTGGGTGTCAGCAATCAGGACCAAGTCATCTGCATATAGGAGAGCTTGTGCCTGCACAGGAATTAAATTCCAGTACCCCACTGTTGCTCTGGGTATCCTTCGCTTACGAACCTTCCATACTTCATCCATGCATATGATGAATAATAGTGGGCTTAGTCTACCACCTTGCTTAAAGCCTTTATAATACCTAAATGGATCCGATTCGGATCCGTTAAGCCTCACTATTCCCTTAGGATCCTTGTATACCGATTTGATAGAGATTGGATGGCACCCATTTTGTAATTCATATACTGTTGATATTCTGTAGTTTTCTAAATTTGTGATTGCCCTAAATATGAAATTGTTATGTGTTAATTTGTTATTTACTTATTTGTAGTAATTGATTCAATAATTGTAATTAAGACGAAAATGACCCTAGTGGCCGATAAGCCCGAGCATTATATAAATAAATAAATAAGATATTGTTTAGTTTACTACAGAACTCACAGTAGAAACTTGAATAACTTCTATTCGGAATCGTTGAGCATAAGTCTAAAAAATGAAGCTTTGTTCTCGTTTTTTTTTTCTCGTTTGTTCTCGTTTGCATATACTTAGTGGTTTATTATGAAAACCTTCTTTTGACGTTGCTTATTTATATATGTATAATTATTTGAATTATTAAATTTTTTTCTTATTATTATATCTTTTCACTTCGTTAATTTATTTTTTATCTAATAATGATTACTCAGTTATTTAATTTAATATTTTATTTTATTACATATTTATGAGTTTTGATTAGATATTGCAGAAATTTTTTTAGTCGTTTGTTTCCCTGATCAGCTGTTTGATTGTAACCTTCCCTTGCTGTGTTGCATTACCTTCCTTTCGGTATGTGATTAGATTTCATTGAGTGATGTTCGATCAGCTGTTCTTTTCTGTTCTGATGATGCCTGGATTGGCGAAACGTTGGATAGTGTTTCTTTGCCTGCATTTTGGAAACATAAGCATGTATTGGAATTTTTCGAATCATAACCTAACGTTTAGATTACTGTTAAGCAATAGCTATATATCTAAATTAAATATTTTTTATTCATCGCTTGCTATTCAACAAAAAGGAGATTGACTTTGATGTCCATACCTTTAGGAGCAGGTGCTATAGCGGCCTGTGTGAAAGCTGCTTCAGGAAGGACAGAAACAATTGGTGTGGGGAAAGGGAGTGAATATTCCTGCAAGTACCTCAAGTCCATTGGATTCGAAGTCCAAAGGTGCCTCTTCGTGGGCGATGAGTAAGTTAACTTATTATAAATTATATATATATATATATATATATATATATATATATATATATATATATATGCATTTATATATACGCAGGGTGTCACGTAAGTAGAGGAAAACTTAACTTAAGTATTTTCAAGTAAGTCATGCTTTTTGATGAATAGGAAGCGATAACTGAAGAAATATTTAATTTAAGTAATTAACAATAGTTTCACTGTAAATAAGATAACATCTTCAAATGAAAATAGAATTAGTTTTATTAGTTTCGCACACTAGTAGTTGTACAATTAATTTTAGACCTTTTTGTAAGTACATTTCGCCTCTTGCGTTTGTTCAAGTTATCAGACGGAAAATAAATCGATGTATTGTCAAAAGTATTCTTGAGTTTCGTTCAGAATTAAAAATCACCGAGATATTAGGCGAAGTTTCATCATCCATATAAATCTACCTCACTAACAACATTTAATTAAGGTATACGTATAATATATCGTTGGAAAGCGGAGAATTAAAAAAAAACAACATCTAATATAGAAAATTATAGAAGGTAACGGAGAGTGGCAAAAAATATAAATAATAATATCTAAAAAATAACATTATTTAACGTAAATCACGTGTTTTGAAGAAAATCAAATGGAACCCTATACGGAGATATCCATATAGGGTGTAAGTAGAGCAAAAAGTTTAACTTAACTTTAATATTTTTTTCACGTGTCATGCTTTTTGATGAATAGAAAGCGATAACTGAAGACATATTTAATTTAAGTAATTTACAATTGTTCCACATTAAATAAAATAAAATTTTATTCAAACGAAAATAGAATTACTCATTGTTAAAACCATTTAAAGAGGACTTTTGAGTTGCTAAACTTGGCTAAGTTCTGTTTTTTTTAAAAAAAAACATTAATTATTGTTGATTTTTTTTTCAGAATCCAACTATATTATAGATAGAAAAACTTTTATGTTGGATAAGCTCTAAGTTCCTATTAATTAAATTAATTTTTATTAGGCGAATTCTTGAGGTTCACCTCAAGTTATGTAAAGAAATTGTGTCAACTTCTATCCAGTCACGTAATAGTGCTCGTGTTTTCGGCAAAAATTGCTACAATTAACTGTTGAAAAGATTTTATTTGTTTGGTTTTTTTAAGATGTGGGATTTATTTTAATAAACATAATTGCCTAAATTCACTTTTTATTTATAAATAAAAATAATAATCACAATATTTCTCAACTTCTTCTTCGGTGCATACTATTTATTTTCAAGTTTATTTATTATCAGCTAATTTTACACCAATTTTTAAAAATTTTGTTAACTTAATGACTACACATCTAATTACGACGTTTCGGCTTTTTTTAAAATTTACAATCATATTTAAACATTACATATTTCAAAAATATATAAAGATTCTTTTTATATACCTAAATACCCATCATGTACCTGTCCTTTTCACTTATGCGAATTGCACGCATCTTCTCATAATAAAATTGTTTATTCTTGTCATGTCCACCTTTAATTATTTTATAACATTATTATTACTCAATTCTTTCTTATTAAATGATTCAAATAAGTTAAAATTACCTTATCATGTGTCACCGACATGTCATCAGTCTCATTTCTATTCAGCGACTGGTTATTCTTAAAGGAGTAGGGGAAGACTATTTATTTTAACTATTTTATTTGGCTCAACAAGTCGAAACATCGTAATTAGATGTGTAGTCATTAAGTTAACAAAATTTTTAAAAATCGGTAATAAATAAACTCGAAAAAAATAATAATGATTTTTTAAATATTTTTCTTGTTAAGTATTTACGAAACTGTGTTTTACACCCAGATCTCTGTCATAGGAATTAATTCGTATTTATAAATGACAAATTTAATTTTTCCAGTCTTATAATTTACGTTTAAAACATAAAACCCTGCTGACTGCTTCAATTATTTTCATGAAAACATAAATTTTAGAACTAGAAACATGAAATTTGTCACTTATAAATACAGATCAAGTCCTTTGACAGATATCTGGAAAAAGAGAAAAGTTTTGTAAACACGTACCTTGAGAAGTATTTACCTCATTATTTTTTTTTAAATAAAAAGTATATTTAGGAAATTATTTTTTTTATTATAACATAACCCAGATCATGGAAAAACAAGAAATTGAAGCTTTTTGTGTTTAAAAACAGGTACTTTTAGGTGACAAGATAAAAGATCACAACATTTCTCTACATAACTTGAGATGAATCTCAAGAATTTTCCTATTAAACCTCAATTTAATTATTATGGACTTTAAGCGTATTAAACCAAGAAGTTTTTCCAAAATTTGAGTATCTGTAATACAGTTGAATAATGATAAAAAAAAATCATCAATAATTCATAATTTTTTGAAAATTAAATATAAAAAAAATATCGTTAACGTTAAAGTAAAGAGGAAGGAAATTAAAAAAAAAGTTATAATTTTCAATAATGAGAAAAGTTATTTAAATTCATTACGTAAAAGATAATTTAATTAAAACAAAAAAAAATATCAATTACTTAAATAATCATGCCTGTTGTTAGTGAAGCAGATTTATACGAATGATGAAACTTGGCATAATATCTCGGTGATTTTTATTCCTGACGAAACTAAAGAATTCTCCTGACAATACATCGATTTACTATCGGTATGATAACATGAACAAATGCAAGTGGCGAAATGTATTTGCAAAAAGCTGTAACATTGCAACAAGTTTACAACTACTGGTGCAAAAATAATTAAAAAAATAACTTAAATGTATTTAGTTTATCTAAATAAAAATAATAACAAAATCGCCAATAATTTATGATTTAAAAAAAAAACAGAACTTAGGTAAGTTTAGCCACTGAAAAGTCCTCTTTAAATGGTTTTAAAAATAAGTAATTATATTTTCATTTGAAGAAAATTCTATCTAGTTTACAGAGAAAAATTTTTCAATTACTTAAATAAAGTATTTCTTTAGTTATCGCTGCCTATTAATCAATAAGAATGGCTTATTTACGGGACACTTTGTATTTATATGTATATATATATATATATATATATATATATATATATATATATATATATATATATATATATATATATATATATATATATATACTATTTTATTATTTATAAATCAATAATATTGCAGACTATCCACTGATATAGTTTCGGGTAACATGAGCGGGATGGACACACTGTTTGTTCTCACGGGAAACTGTACTTTGAAAACGGTCGAGTCAGCCAAAGAAAAAAAGCTGGTAAACAGGATACCAACTTACTATACCAACTCAGTAGCTGATCTTATCAAGGCATTCAAAACTTAGGAAGAATATCGTTTCACATCAGTCATTTTATTAAATTTCTCGAAATCGTTGTTATTTTTACCTGTATCTATTGAAGTAAATCTGTTGAAAGCGTATATAGGGCAGAATTTATTTATCTATATACTTTTATGTATTTATTAATTATTATAGGAAAGCGTTTAATAAAAATAGAGTGTACATAAATATGATAATTATTCCGCTTTTCACTTTTTCCCCATTTTTTTTATTGAATAATTTAGTAACTACAAAACATGTTTCTTTGTCGATTCATGGCTCAAGTCTAATGAGCTCCATTGTCAGGTTCTAAATTCATGTTATAACAAATTATAGTATATAATATCCAGAGCATCATCATGCCTTTAGACCAATTATTGGGTGTCTGCTGTCCCTGAATCGACAAAGAAACATGGGATTGTAGTTCTGAAGATGAAATTTCCCGCAACGTAAACATGTAAGGTTGGAAATACAACAAATAAATCGTTTGTTGTTTAATTGGAAGTTATTGCCAATAACAGAGAATAACATACAACTTCCCAGAAAAAAAGAAGAACTAAAAAACAAATTTCAAAGTTATGAAAAGTTGGCTTCCTGAACAATGCAAACATGTGATCAACCTCCTCGGTACAGATATAAACATTAATTCTTAATTATGGTTAACTTATAACAATATACTATGTAATAATACAATTATAATAGTATGTTAAAAATCAGTTAGAATATATACCTGGCGTGGTCAAAATATATTTATATATTTCTTTAATGTTATTGAAAAAAAAATATAAAACTTTAGGTAGCCAATTATTTAAACTGTTACAACAGCTTTATAATTAAATTCATAATAAAATTATAGATCAAATTCAAAATTTTAGGGTCTGGCGTGCAATCCATAATCATTTATAGGTTGAAATAGAGATATACTTTCAAATATCTCTAGGCATATATATATATATATCTAAGAGACTAGAGATACGTGGTTTACAAAAGCGAGTAGAGTACCAAGTTTTTTTATTGTATACCGCTGATATAAATAGTAGGATTTTTGTTATTTTAGTGGTCTTAATGATTAGTCAGCTGTAAGCTTTAAGCTATAACTCCATTAAAAGTTCACTTCAAAAATTTTATGTTTGCCCAACATTGCCAGAAAATAATTTCTATTCAAAGTAGAGAGGTAAGTGAAAGTTGTGTGTTGAGCGCAACACATTTTTTTTTTTCTATCAAATAATATAACACAATAAAAAAAAATAAGCAATACAGTTTTATCTAAGTTTTTATTACAAATTTCATAACAAACAAAAATTTATTGAGTGAAATAATTTATTCTGCGATTTTTTAAAAATATTTACAATATGGTATGGGGTATATACAATATATGGATAAAAGCACAGCCATTTTATGTAGCACCTCAGAAGTGAAATTTTGTTGTATGAATATTATATTGTTGCTTTATTGTAAAAAGTACATTTTTATGAAGGTTAACTTGTTTGATTATTTTTGTGAACTCTAACCTTATACATCAATAAAAAAAAAATGTGTTAGCCACAAAACGACACGCTTTAATATACTTGATATATTTATTCTAAATGCACAATGGTTTGATTTGAAAAAGAGGAAATTCAATCGAAGTGCATAGTAATTTAACTTAATGTTACTTATTACAGTTAATTGACAACGTCAAAGCATAAACTGTTTTATTTTTTTCAACATTTCAAGTCAAAAAAGTTACAAAAAAATGGAGCAAATTTTGGAATAACTACAGATTTATATAAACACAACACAATTTCTAAACTTCTCTTATTAACTAAGTGGTTAAAATTTTTATATTTACCACATTTTATTTTTCGTAAGAACTTAAAGCTAAAAGCAGATTTTTTTTTCTTTTTCTTTCTCTGTTTTTTTTGTTATATTCAAAGATAATTATATAGTTTATTTTATTTCGTTTATATACTTTTTGTATTATTTTTTTTCGTTTGACAATAATTATGTCGATTTTCTTAATCATCACAATTATTTTTATTCATAATATAATCTCCAGAGATATATTTTTTGGAGAGGGATCCATCGCCCCCCCCCCCTTCCAACCAGAATGTAAAGTCTGCATCTATAATTAACGTAATTATTTAAGTTCAGTGTTAAATGAATGACATGTGATGTGCACGACACACTGTGTTTTTAAATTTTAAAAGACGTATTTTAGATTTAAAGCCTTCATATTCAAGTATTTTTAGATTTTTTATTATTTGTATAAATGTATATATGTATATATACATGCATGCATACACACTTTTTTAAAAAATTAATAACGTATGTACATATTACATCATGGAGGAATAGCCTTTTATCTCTAATCGAGTTAGAAATCAAGGTCACAACCGTTAGAGCGACGCTAGCCTGCTGTCACAAGCCGGTCAGTATTCGTCGAGTACAGTTCGTTCTTCTAGTAACCCGTTACGTTAAATTTAGTAACAGTTCCATGACTAGGAAGATGATCGACTTCTCGAAGTTGAGCGAAGACGGGCTTAGAGAGTTCAAGAATAGATACGACGCTTACATATTCGACATGGACGGTAAGGTTTCTTTGTCTGTACGAACTAATTCTTGAAATATTTTAAGCATGAAGTTGTTGATCGTGTCACCGTAGTGCTAATTAAAAACGTGCAAACTTAGTTTATACTCGAATATGGCAATAGAACTGTAGAAACAATGAGGGTAATATTAGATTCTCTGTCTGTAGCAATGTAACGTATTTTTTATGAATTTCAATTGTATCGATTTTTAAGATGGATCTGATCCCTTACATCGATGATTTTTGTTCTACATCGAAAAATATTAAGACATATCCTGACGTTCGTTCCAATGACCCTTAGGAACCGGAAAAAATATTTATAATCTTTTATATTTGCTTTGCAACGATTTTTAGATTATTTTATACCAATCTATTTCTGAAAAATTTCTTGTGAATTAATGGAGTCCTAAATATTTCTAATAATATTATACTAAAATTTTCTTTTAATATTTTGAGCTCAAATTGCTTCAAATCCCTTACGGGATCCCAATGAATAATTTGAACCATTTAACTCGATAATCGGTTGAGTTTATATCATTCTTTCGCGAAAACTTTCAAACAGATGCACTAAATACATTTTAATTTTTTTTATAATTTCGCTTAGTAGTTGTACACTTCATGTTACAGCTTTATGCAAGTCCATTTCGCCTCTTGCGTTTGTTCATGTTAGCATGCAGATAGTAAGTATTGTCAGGAGAATTCTTGAGTTTCGTCAGGAATAAAAATCACCGAGATATTGTTCCATCTTTCATCATCATTATACATCTACTTCACTAACAACAGATAATTAAGGTATACATATAACATATCGTTGGAAAGCGGATAATTAAAAAAACAAACAATAACTAATATAGAAAATTGTAGAAGGTAACGGAGAGCGGAAAAGAGATATAAATAATAATTTCTAAAAACTAACATTATTTAACGTAAATCACGTGTTTTCAAGAAAATTAAATGAAATTATATATGTATATAGAAGGTGTCACTTAAGTAGAGGAAAACTTAACTTTAGAATTTTTTTAAAGTAAGTAATGCTTTTTGATGAATAGCAAGCCATAAACTGAAGAAATATTAAATTTAAGTAATTACCCATAGTTTCTCTATAAACAAGATAAAATTTTCTTTAAATGAAAATAAAATTACTCATTATTTTTTGTATTATTTGTAAATGTTTTGGGCTCTTCAAATACCTGGGTCATTTTCGCCCTATAGTACAATTTCATAAATTACTACAAACATAACAAAACTACAGCTAAGAAATACAATTTAAAGTTTAGAATATTTACAGATGAATATCATAATACAATTTAATTAAAGTTATAAATATTGAAAGTTAAAGATTTAAAACGAGACAAATTAACAAAGATGATAAAAATAAAGGTTAATGATTTAAAACAAAAGTAAAAAAATACATTTTTAAATAATAAAAATTAATATTAATAGAAGCGAAGTTAAAGAGTACATTTTAAATTTTAAGAAGTACAAGAACCATTAAAATTAAATATTAAAGATTAGAAAAAGACAAGTTAACAGTTAATAGGACATTTAAATAAAAAGTTGATGTCAAGAATATAATCTAAAAATACAGTTTAAAAAATAAAATTATTATTAAAAGAAAAAAAGTTAAAATGTACAATTTAAATATTAAAAATTACAAGAAAAATTGAAAAACAATTATAATTAAAAATTATGATTAAAAGAAGAAAAATTAATAGGCATATTTACAATTACTCATTGTTAAAACCATTATTTTTTAACTGTTTTTAATATCTCATTGTTAACCATTGATTTTTGAGCCGCTAAACCTGGCTAAGTTCTGTTTTTAAAAAATCATAAATTATTGATGATTTTTATTTAGATGCACTAAATACATTCAAATTATTATTTTTTTTTTTTTATTAGTTTTGCAATAGTAGTTGGACACTTCATGTTACAGCTTTTTGTAAGTACATTTCGCCTCTTGCATTTGTTCATGTTATCATACCGATAGTAAATCGATGTATTGTCATGAGCATTCCTGAGTCTTGTTCAAGAATAAAAATCACCGAGATATTATGCTATGTTTCATCATTCATATAAATCAACTTCACTAACAATGGGCGTGATTATTTCCGTAATCACTATTTTTTTTAAATTAAATTACCTTTTAAGTTATGAATTTAAATAACTTTTCTCTTTAATGAAAATTATAATACTTTTTTTTTTTTTTTTTTAATTTCCCTCCGCTTTACTTTAACGTTAACGATATATTTTTTAATATAAAAAATTTCATTAGTTTTAGTTCTTGGAAGTATGGAAATTTCACAACCGGATTTAATAAGACTATAAATAAATTTATTAATCCTAGAAGTTATCTTGATGGAAAAGATAATACAGTTTAATACTTTAAGTTCTTATTTTTAATTAGAATAATTGATAATAGTTATAATAAATAAAGCAGTTTGACTACGATAAATAATAACACATAAAGTAAAACATAGATGGAAAATAAAATTACTTTGAATATTTTTAAACATTTTGTTTTCTCTATTTCTCGCCTCTATCCTAAAGGGTCATTGGCGTTTTCTATAATTTATATTATGTTATAGTAATTTATAATATTTTAAAATTTAAATAAGATGGAGAATCGCTCTTCATTATCTTGCAGAATATATTTTAGTGTTTTTCCTAGATCTATTTTTTTGTTTCTGTAGCTTTCTAAGTAGGAGCTTGTATATATATACAAATTCTTTTTCATATTTCACAGAATAAACAATATCAATACTATAATAGACTAATAAACTTAATATACTATAGTATAATAAAATTAAAAATAAAATATATATAAAAACTATGAAAGCATTTTATTGCTCTCAATTACCTATATAAGTAATATATATTGCGATCGTTAAATTTTTGAATCTGAGTTTTCAACGGAAATACACGCTTTTAGGTTCCCTGGGTCCAAATAACTAAATCTCGCAAATGGTACGTGTATGTACAATATATATATATATATATATATATATATATATATATATATATATATATATATATATATATATATATATATATCTCAGAGACTGGAATTACCATGTATTCAACAGCGGATGGAGTACTGAGGTTTTTATTGTCTACCGCTGATATAAATAATTGGATTTTCATAAATATAAATAAATAATAATATGACTTTTTTAATGCCAAAACATTAAAAAGAGAAAAAAAATCGGTTTATAAAAAAAATATATACTGGCCATACCGACAGATTGATAGCAAAAAATGGGCTTTATCGGGGCCTAAACTGTTTCTTCATAAATATTTTTAAGGATATAATGACAAAAAAAAAATTAAAACACTGATAAATACGTTTTAAAAGTTAAATAAGGTTTGATTTTATCTTCATAGCATTGTGATAATGGTGACGTACCGATTGACGTTTTTTTAAAAATATTTATTGAATTTTTATTTTTTTATGCCAATATTGTATTCTACTTTTTTTTTTATAAACATGTTTTAGTTATAATGGAACATGGTCCTATAATAATGTTTATTTCCAATTCTAAAAAATGTTTAATTTGTATAGACTTTTTTTGAGCGAAAACTTCTTTAGGTACTCTCTTAACTTTCCTATCTTAACTTTACTAGAGTTAACTCGGTTCGAATTGACTAAATTGCGCACTGGATTAAAATATATCTGCAACTAAAAATCGAATCTGCGTACTGTAAGCAAAGAAAATGTAGAACGTTTCATGCTCTTTGAAACGAGCTATAATTCAAATTTCATTTTGACGTAACGCCGAGTTATAGCGTAGAAAAGTAAAAAAAACAACAAAAAAATGAATGATAATGATTTAAAAAAAAATTAAAATATCTAAAAAACTAAAATTCGGACATGCATACTGTAAGGCATGATTGCTAACTCAGAGACGGTAAGAGAATTCGTTATCTTTTTCCAGATACAATTTTGAATAATAGCTCATTACAAAAAAATATTTACCAGAGTAGCTTAGGCACAATTATAATTGTATATATTGTAAATGTTATTACTGTGTGTGTGTGTGTGTGTGTGTGTGTGTGTGTGTGTGTGTGTGTGTGTACATATATATATTTATATATAAAATTATCTTTCATATTATTAACCTTGCCTTGTTGATGTTTTTACTTCTATCGTGTGGTCTTAAGACCACACCGTAGATTTTTTTTTTAATGATATCGATTTCCTTTCAAAGCAATCCCACCTGTGTTGTGCTTTGCCAAGGTAAGTGGAAGTATACATTACATATCCAAGGATAAACCAGATGTGCTGAGAATTTCATTAATTTAGATGTGTCTTATAATTTGGTACCTGTCGTTGAAGTATGTTTAGTTGCAGACAAATTGCATGCATAACATTTTTAGGTAGGTATTTTTTTTTTATTATTGTGGGTACTTTGTGAAGAATGGCGTGCGCGCACGTGATATAAAACAGGTGTAATTACCGATGCTTGAATTACACCGTTCATGATCGGTCAAATTAAAGAAGATTTCGAAATATAATAGAGAATATATGTCAAAAAGGAAATAAAGAAGAATAAGCTAAAATATATAGGATAAAATAGTCTTGAAGAAGCAATAATGTCCAAAGTTTTGAAGGACTTTATTCCATTATATTTAAATATTGCAATATTCCAGTTGCATATAATTTATGCTCTACTGTCGAGAGAAAAGTTTTCAATTGTTCTTTGAAATTGATAAGTAAGAACGGAAATACAATTCATTAAATTTTATTAGATGTATATTTATAATATTCTTGTAGGCCTCGGAACAGTCCATTTTTTTTTTAAATTATTAACAACAAGCTGAAACTTAGTAAACATATTCCTCTTCTATAGGGCGTATCTTATAAATAAGTTGCGATCTTAAACTTTTGTATTTTTCAAAATTCTCGAAAATCTAGAGATCAGTAAACTCTGTCTATCTAATGAGGTAGCGTATGTTTGTATTAAAGTTGTTATTTTCATTAGTTCTTTTTATTTTTATTTTTTTGTTTTTTGTTTTTTACATTTAGTTTTATAATACCGTAAAATGGTGTAACTTTAGGACTGAGTGGGTGACTTTGGGACAACGGATAAAATTTAATTTATGGTGTTTTGGTGGAGGATAAACTAAGTTGGTTCAGTCTGCAAAATCGATCTTTGTGTAAGCATGTAGTATAGTCCGTGGTACAGACCCCTTTTTATTAACATCAGCCTGAAACTTCGTAAATAATTTCATCTCATCGTAACCTACAAATATTTTATTTACGAAAACTCTTGGAATTGGGACTTGGTTTTGAATCTGGAGGGAAGCAAACTTTGTCTATTTAATTAGGTACTAAAAACTCGGAAATACATATTTGCTTCCTATTCGGATCGTAGGATAATTTGATAACAAAATCGAGAAAAAAAGGTGGCCTTCGAAAATATTGAGCCGTTTGGCGTGACCTACATTCCCAAATTTTCAAAATAACGAGGTTATATAGGACAAATGGCTCAATCATTTGTAGGCCACCTTTTTCATCGATTTCGTAATCAAATTATCATAAGATTCCAGTAGAAAGCAAATCAGTATTTACGAGTTTTCAGTTCCTAATTAAACAGACAAAGTTTGTCCCTCACGAGATTGAAAACGCCCCGATTCCTAGAGTTTTCGAAAATAAAATAGTTGTAGGTTACGATGCTATGAAACTATTTACGTAGTTTTAGTTGGATATTAATAATTCGATTAAAAAGGGTTCTGTACCACGGACTATACTACCGTGAGTCAGTTTGAGAACCCTAGTTCACAACACTCTTTGTGCGGTTAGGTTTTATTTATTACAATTCCATTTTTTTTTTAAATTCTTGTTTTCATGAAACCTTCGTTTGTGCCTCAAGAGTAGTGTGCCGCAAGGAAGTAGTGCAGTACATGCCCACACAAAGCACATTTTTGCAGACTGAACCAACACACTGTGTCCACCACGGAATAGCCACAAACTAAATTTTACCCACCCAGTCCCATCTTACGGTAGTTATATTATTTTTCTGTTCAATTAAATTCTTATTTATTGTACTTAAGAGTGTGAATCTGCTCACAGAACGCTATTATAAATGTCCTCAATTGAGACAGATTGTAATATTTCTTAATAAACAATTTCTAAAAAAATTAAAAAACAAAAAGTGAAGTACTTAAAACTCATGAACATCCATTTGCTTTCCAGATGAATCATAAGATAATTTCATCGCAAAATCGAGAGAAAACGTGTCCTACAAAAATATAGGGCCGTTTAGCTTATTTATTTTGACATGATGGGGTGAACACGCCAAACGGCCCAATATTTTTGTAGAACACCTTATTTTATTTTTTATTACTTCCGTAATCAAATTACATTATTGAAGGGAGTTAATCGACTGTTCTACATATCATGGATGATAAATATTCAGGAGGCAGTCATCATGAAGTTTTTATTAGTGCCGACATTTGCCGTGTTTAGTGCTCGAAACAAGCTCTGATGATGACCCACATGTTTGGGTTGAAACGTCGGCACTAATAAAAACTTTGTAATGACTGCCTCCTGAATATTTATCGCCCAACAAATTATATTATAGTTGAAGTGGAAAGCAAATGAGTATTCATGAGTTTTTAGTACCTTGTTTATTTTATCGATTTAATGAGTTGTTGGTCACGATAAGATAAAGTTTTAGACGAATGTTAATAATTTTATAAAAAGGGGTCTGTACTTCGTACTATTTGTGCTATCATAAAAAAAAAGTACTTCATCAAGTTTGAGAAGTGCTATTTTATTGAATAATTAAATTAAAAATTATTCCAATTTCGGGCTACGGAATTATTTTATTACCAGATCATTAATATGGAGACTTATCTTAGGTTTCAGTAAATCCATTTTAATTCTAGATTTTAGTGATGACATTACTATCCTAATACTTGTCAGTCTTAGTCCTTTAATGGATTCTAATAAATTTGCCATTAAATACAGCGTAATTTATTGCACAGTTTATGGCGTTTCCTTATAATGGATTACTTTATGAGGTTCTGATAAATACGTTTCATAGGATGAAGAATCAAATTACCCGATAACACACAGAACAAAAAATAATATATATAAATGAAAACTTTTCTTATGATAAATTATTTTTGTTTAATTTTTTTTTATTGTATTATTATTTATTAAGGAAGGAAGTGGTGGTTATAAATATACTAAATAGTGGCAAAACTATTTTATTAAAATCCAACGTTTAATAGTCCATATTGTGTACTTTTTCTTTCTCTTCCAATCTCTTCTGTAGATCTGTAGGAGTATATTCAAAATTGCATATATTATATATTACTCTGCAACAATTGTTATCATCTATTTGCTTCAGTTTAAGATCTTGTTACTTAGCTTACTCTGTCTATATTATAATGTACTTACTGTTTATAATTTTAATAAGCTTATTCACATTGTTTATAATTCTTTGTCTAAATATTGTATAACTTCCACAATACTCTATATCTCTTTGTATCTTGTCCGTTCTAGCCCTGAAGAAGACCTGCAAAGTAAGGTCGAAACGTTGGCTTTTAATGAAATAGTTTTGCCACTATTTAGTCTATTTATGACCGCCATCCCGGACCATCTTCTTCCTTAATAATGTAACGGTCAACTATTAAGTATTCAAGTATTATTATTTATGTTTGCTTATTATATTGCTATATTTAAACTTTATATATTTTTAGAATATTAAAATGCACTCTCTCTAATTACTACACCCAGCGAGTTACACTTGATTTTTTCTATATTTTGATAAAAGACCATGTTTGTCAATATTTGAATTTGCTTTATAAATGTGCGAAAATTACATTAAGTTGTCTCTAAGTATTAAAATATTAATAATTATACCTTTCAATCTAATATTAAAATAAGCTGCAATAACTTATTATAGTAATGTTTTCTAAAACACAAGTACTTTTGGTTGATATAATAAATATATACATTTTTCTTAACTAGAACTAAATCTTAACATATTCTATAACCTCTACGGACATAAAGCTTAATAAACAAGAAAATCAACTGTATCTGAAGTCCATTCTGAAACTGTAAAAAAATATCCTGAACAATCTATGACTGAAATAATCTAAAACTGAACTTAAATAAATCTATTTACAAATATTCCTTAAATGGTTTTAACAAAGGTAAATTCTACTTGAATTTGAAGTAAATTTTGTCGAGTTTACTATGAAACGATAATCAATAATATAAAATAAATAATTTCTCATTTCTCGCTTCCTATTCAACAACAAACCTAGCTTATTTGGAGCCATGAAATCCTAAAACGTACGTTACCATTACAGAACGTGAAACCTCAAATTTTGAGATTTTGTTAAGTTTTTGAATTTTTCGATCGATCACAATGCTTCGTTATTGAAAATAATACACCAAAAATATTTTAAAAATCGCGATATCTCTACTAGTAGTGCATTGATTTTGATGAAACTTCCTTCATTGTTTAGGAAATTTAAATCACTTTGAAACATCTTATCATAATATCAATAAAAAATTATATACTGTTTGAGTTAGTCGGAATTTAATTTTACCATTCCTCGTAACCTTTTTCCCAGCTTCTTTTGAAGTATGTAATATAGATAAATTTAAAGAACGTTGAGAGAATGACTTTAGCGAAGTTTCATTGAAAATGGTACATTCGTTTAGGCGCTACAGTCTATAGCAACAAATGTTTTTCGGCCGCCATTTCGAAATTAAAGGCGGATAGTAATGTCGTTGAAGGAGGATCATCCTCAGGTGACCTCTTATTTTATATCCAAATTTGAAAAAAATCGATCCTGTGGTTTCGGAGGAAATAAGCGGACGGCGGACGGACAAATTAATTTTTATTCGTTTATCGAATTCTACGTATTCTGAAAGGTAAAACCTCAAATTTTGAGAGTGGGTTAAGTTTTTGAATTTTTGGTCGATCACAATGGTTCATTATTGATAATAATAAACCAAAATTTCGGTTCTAAGTTTCTATAATTTTTAGTAGTAGTAAATACTAAGCCGAAAATCCAAACTTTCCATTGAAAACAAGCTACTGATCTACAAGACAATACTGAAACCTATTTGGACTTACGGACTAGAACTGTGGGGATCAGCAAAATTTTCTAACATCAAGCGCATCCAATCCTTCCAGTCTAAAGTCCTTCGAACTATAGTCGATGCTCCTTTCTATGTAACCAACAAAACCCTACATCATGACCTCAACATCCCATTTGTCCTAGACCTTATCCCAGAAAAATTCTCCAAATTTCACCAGAACCTTACTTACCACCCAAATCCTCTTGCACAATCCCTATCAAGCACCTCCCATCCCTATAATCCTCCAAGAAGGTTGAAACGGCAGTAGCCTCGCGACCTTTTGTAGATTGTATAAATTGGAGTTCTGGCAATGGCCAGATTCTTCACTCAAGACATGAGTGTATGTGGCTAAAGTGCTCTCGACCAATCTCCGCTGGCTTTAATACCAGTGACGCGGTTGGGAGAGTAGCGCAGTGTTCTCCTGGAGTTCCCTCGCCTGATTGTATATAGGTATGCATGTGTTTTTCTTTTCTTAGTTTTAATTTTCTTATTTTTTAGGTTATTTTATTTTATTGTCTATTGTATATACTTTTGATTATTATTTTGTTCTATTTGTTTTATTTTTTTGTACATATAGTGTGAATGTCATCCTACCTCACTATAACCAATGTCCAACAGACAGATTGTTATAATACTCAATAAAGAAATTTAAAAAAAAAGTAGTAGTAAAAATAATAATACATATTAATTATGATTGTATATATACATATATGTAAGTGAAAGTAATAATTGAGAATAATTTATTATTAATTATTCTCGACAATAATTTAATATTTAAAATACAAATATTTATTTAATATTAATAAAAAACCATTTAGCGATTTATTTACTTTTGTTGTTAGAGACCCTGATTCAACAAAACGGGTCTCCGATTGAAGGCGTTGAAGAGGCTCTTAACGAAATTGCAGAGAACGGAAAATCGATTATGGTTTTCACAGATAACTGCTTAGCTGTATTAAAAGATGTTGCCGAGAGACTTAACGGACTTTTTCCTGTCATCAAAAAGGTAAATAATTCATTAATAATTAAAATTGAATTAATGAATTCCCACCTCTATTTGGTTCGTGATTTATTTTTTTATATTATTCATAAATTTCTTTGTTTAAAACAAAGATAATTTAATGTTGAAAGTTGCAACTTGCACTACTACAAATCTCAACTTCATTAATATGGATCATAAATGTTGTTAGAAAATGATGAAAAAAGAAAAAAAAGATTTTATGAAAAAACAGAAGTTAGTGTAGTTTAGGTCTTTGAAAGTCTCCTTTAAATATTTTAAACAAAGATAAAGTCTGCTTACATTTAAAATAAATCTTTAATGATGCAGAGATGGTTGACCGTGATATAACATGCGAAGGAGTTGATCGGAAAGTGGGGTCAAATAAATACTAAATTATAGAAATACTATTATTTATTTTTTTTGTATTATTCATTTCCTTTATTTCTTAACCTTTAGTCCCGTTATCTATTTACCTACAGTTATCAAATGTAACCTCCACTACCTTGTTATCCACTGATATCTTACTGTTATGTTATCTTATTCTTATTTTAGCTTTACTGTATCAATACTTATTCAATTTTCAATCTCTTTATTCGTTAACATTCATTTTATTTATTCGTTAACCTACAGTTATCAAATGTAATCTTTATTAGTTTGTAGTTTATTAATTTGTACAATCATTCCTTATCTTTTATCGCAATCTGTTTACTTTCATCATACCTATTTTCTATTTTTGTTTATATCTTCTATAGATATAATACTACATTGTCACCCACTATATCTCTGATATCATCTTTTTATTCCTTTATCAAACAACTTCTTATTTGATGTCTACTTATATTCATTTATTTTATTTTCACCATGTACCTTTTATATGTTGTATCTTTTGTAGCCCTGATGAAGACCTGCAAAGTGGGTCGAAACGTCGGCAAAAAAATGAAATAATACTACTTTTAAAATTTAGTATTTATTTGACCGCACCCCCCTATCAACTCCTTCTCATGAAATAAATTTTGTTAAGTTCACTATTAGGAAATTTCAATTATCTCATTTTTTTTTTTAATTATCGCTTCTTATTCAACAAAAAAACGTGACACTTAAAAAAAACTTTAAATTTCTATTTCTATTAAATCTCTTATGACGAAAGTTTCCGTAAACACGCGGGGTTGGGAGGGAGGGAGAGTTAAGGGACTCTTATGTTTATTTAATAATATTATGTTTATTATAAGCTCTTATGTTTATTATATGCTGAGGAATAACAGCTGTCAGGTTTAATATCAGCTCTTAGGTAATATCAGCTGTTCAGTAAAATCAGCTGTTAGATTCATGTTTATTGAGGAGCAAGGAGAAGAATAAATCAGTCTTTATACTACAGTCTTGCGTGTTTTACTACAGCTCTTTCTCTCTGTTTTTTAACGTGAACATAAGATATATATATATATATATATATATATATATATATATATATTTATAAAGGGGTGAGGGCTACCCCCTTCTACGGCAACCTTTTTCTGCTCATCCTTTAATGATATTCTGTTTATTATATACTCTATTATAAATAATATTTGTTTGTTTCGTGTTCAGGAAAACATCATGAACGCAGGACATCTTGTAGTGAGGTACCTAAAGGAAATAAATTTTAAAAAGAAGGTATACGTTATCGGATCTGAAAATGGAATAATTGCGGATCTTAAAGATTCCGGATTCGATGTCTTATACGAAAACCAGGTAAGTACTATTTGATGATTTTTTGAATTGTGGGATTTGTCATAATTATTTCTTATAAGTATTTTTTTAAGCGATTTAATAATAAATAGATAGCATTTTTACATTGTATTATTCGGTAATATTTGAATGTTAATGCAAGATAAAATGTCCAAGTTGTATTACAGAATCCTTGATTTCTGTAAAAATTTTAAATAGACATGTCATCAAGGAATGCTTTCCAAGCTTTACTTCCTTCCACTTACCTACTTATCCTATTTTATATTTCGTTTTCACTTGACATACAGACACTTTATTGTAAAAGTAGATAAAGAATTATCCATCATGAAACGTGTTATAGCAGGAGTTCCACAGGCTAGAGTACTGGGTCCATTACTTCTCAACATTTTTCCATAAGACGTATCAGAACATGATCAAACTTTACTGGCAACATTTTCTGATGTTGATACACTCCTTACATCTCTCGAAAACCCCAAAATTACACACTTTATCATAACAGATCCACCTTGCTGACGTTTTTAATTGAGCTAACAAGTATAAATGAAAAAAAAAATGCATTTATTGTTTTTACAATAAATTATGGTTCATGCCTACAGATTTTATTTAATAATGATCATATTCCTATATCTGAAAATTTCATTATACGGGACTAGACTAACATGAAGAAACCTTTCTACACTGAAAAGAAAACAGAACAAACGACTTGGACTAGCCAAGTTACTTGTGACGATCCAAGTTATGCTTTATAAAAAAATTACCACCTTTAAATTACTTACATTTTTTACAAACACGTGGGATAGAACTAAGGGACATTACCGAAACCTGTAACAATTTCAAAATTAAATTTTTCTAAACAAGAGCATTGCGAAATAACGGACGCGCTGTTCCATATAACATATTTGATATTGAAAGACTTGGACACCCAGACTGTATTAAATAATGGAACTCGATACCAAACTCCGAACAAATACTGAGACTTTTAAGGCGGTATCCAATAGACTTACTAACTTAATCCCTCCCCAGAAATGAGAACATAATTGCTTTATGCAAAATATACTTTACAGATGGCCAATATAGATTCTTCCAAATTTATGTACTTATTTAAATAAAGAATAAAAATTATTGGGTGATATATTATTATATGAAATTTACTTCTTTCAGTTGAAAAACATTACGATTCCGGAATTAAGACAAATTAAATTCGTTGAAGGGGTGGGTGCAGTGGTGATCGGCAGCGATCTCAACTTCAATTACCTCAAGATGTTCAATGCAACAAACTACCTCGCTGATCCGGAAGTGTTGTTAATACAAACTCATGTTCCTGTTGTTGTAGCATACAATCCCATCATACCAGGTATGCAATTAATACTTCTAAATGTATTATATAGATAGTTAATAGAATATATTTTTGGCGATAAAATATTTATAGATACTTCAAAAACGATGCTGAGTGGTGTGGATGAGATTATGGACGTCATTGATAGTATATAGATACACATAAATCTATTTTTTTTTATTATTACCAAATTATTCAAAGGATAAGTTCCTAAAATCAGGGCTGCATACATCGATTTAATTTAAAAATCGATTGAATTCACAACCAATGGACAATGATTAATGCTGTGCTAAGGAACGGCTTGTTGAATTTCTGCTGAAGGTTATAAAACACAACAAAAAAATGTGTAAGGAAATAACTATCTAATGAATTGTTGAATTTCAATACAGAATTAAGTATAAGTAGAAAGTAAACCCAATAAAATAAGTGAAATAAATTGTGAAATAATTCCTGGGCTATAATAGGGGTAGCTCCAGGAGATGTATCAATCCCAAAAGCCGATGGAACCGCTGAGCCATTGGTAATCCAATCGATGAATTTTTAGGAACAGTTTGAAAGATTTATGAGTTTTTGAACTTGTCCACACATGTCACATTTTTCATCCTATTACTATTTTGATTAAAATATTCTACATAATTACTATCATTAATTTTAATGATGTTTTCACTGATTGAAAATGTTTGTAACAATAATATTTTATGATCTACAAGACAATACTGAAACCTATTTGGACTTACGGACTAGAACTGTGGGGATCAGCAAAATTTTCTAACATCAAGCGCATCCAATCCTTCCAGTCTAAAGTCCTTCGAACAATAGTCGATGCTCCTTTCTATGTATCCAACAAAACCCTACATCATGACCTTAACATCCCATTTGTCCTAGACCTTATCCCAGAAAAGTTCTCCAAATTTCACCAGAACCTTGCTTACCACCCAAATCCTCTTGCACAATCCCTATCAAGCATCTCCCATCCCTATAATCCTCCAAGAAGGTTGAAACGGCAGTGGCCTCGCGACCTTTTGTAAATTATATAAATTGGAGTTCTGGCAATGGCCAGATTCTTCACTCAAGACATGTGTGTATGTGGCTAAAGTGCTCTCGACCAATCTCCGCTGGCTTTAGTACCAGTGACGCGGTTGGAAGAGTAGCGCAGGGTTCTCCTGGAGTTCCCTCGCCTGATTGTATATAGGTATGCATGTTATTTTTTTTTTTTTTTGCTTAGTTTTAATTTTCTTATTTTTTAGGTTATTTTATTTTATTGTCTATTGTATATACTTTTGATTATTATTTTGTTCTATTTATTTTATTTTTTTGTACATATGGTGTGAATGTCATCCTACCTCACTATAACCAATGTCGAACAGACAGATTGTTATAATACTCAATAAAGAAATTAAAAAAAAAATATTTTATGAGGCTGTCAAGTTGGATTGGGTGAGTGAATTTCGGCGTGGCTTGATGGAGCTTAGACTTGTACGACTGAATTCTACGCGTTTTGGATCATTAAAAAAAAAAAAAAGAATAGCATAGAATTTCAGTCTTAACCGTTCAAACTTCCAATTTGCGGAGAGCTGTTGGATTGGAATGATCCAAATTACCTCCTTTTGAAAATATTTTTGTGATTTTTTTTTAAATATATATTTTAAGTGGAGTAGATAATTTCGATAAAAGCAGATCATTTATTTTGTTATAACGCTAATAGTGTGCTATAAATGGATGAAAAATAAAAACTAGAAAATCAATTAAAATATCATTGCAGAATATGAAGAGTTCTCTGTATTGGAGTCGAGTCCAAATTCCAAAACAAGTCTGTGAATGTATGCATTCAGGGTTATTAGCAATTTTTTTTTATTATTATATATAATTAATATATTTTCTTTATTAATTTTAGGGGTAGGAGCTATTATTGCCTCCTTGAAAGCTGTTTCAGGAAGAAAGGATTCGACTGCAACGGGAAAAGGTAGCGATTATTGCAGCAAGTACCTCAAGTCATTTGGGTTTCCAGCCGAAAGGTGTCTCTTCGTAGGCGACGGGTAAGAAAAAAAATTATTAAAATTTCGAAAAACTTAAATTTAAAAAAAAAACTTTTTAATATTCAAAATAATATTTAAATCAATTATTACTTTTCTCTTCTTTTTTTATGGCAAGCGTAAAAAAAGCAAAAAAGATTTTTTTTCTAAAATCTTGATACCAAAAAAAAAAAAAAAAAAAAATTAAGTAATCGAAAAAGATGTCCGTTTTTGAACATTTAGTTACAGATTAGTAATTTTACAGAATCTTATTCAAATGCCTAAATTTAGTCTTTTTGGTTTATTATTTTCAATAATGAACCATTGTGATCGACCTAAACATTCAAAAACTGAACTCCTTCTCAAAATTTGAGGTTTCACGTTTCAGGATACGTAGAATTCGAAGAACGAATAAATTTTTTTTTGTCCGTCCGCCGTCCGCGCATTTTCTCCGAACTTACTGGATCGATTCTTTTCAAATTTGGATATAAAATCGGAGGTCACTCGAGGATGATCCTCCTTCATCGACATTACTATCCGCATTTTACTTTCGAAATAGCGGCCGAAAAACCTGCGTTGCTATAGACTCTAGCCCCTAAACGAATGAACCGATTTCAATGAAACTTTCCTAAAGTCATTCTCTCAACGCTCTTTAAATTTATCTATATAACATACTTCAACGAAAAGTTACGAGGAATGGTAAAATTAAATTCCGAATAATTCAAAAAGTATACACTTTTTTGTCGATATTGTGATAAGATGTTTAAAAGATATTTAAATATCCTAAAAAATGAAGGAAGTTTCATCGAAATCAATGCACTGTTAGTAGAGATATCGCGATTTTTTTTTTAGAGTTAACTTCATGGGAATTTCTAAAATGTAAATTTTCTCGAAAGACTTGAACAAGGCTAAGAATTGTACGAAAATGAGGTGTCACGTGGTGGGAGAAAACATAACGTCTTAAAAATGGAAAAGACTCATTTCAAAACGCATTCTTAGAGTCAAGAATAAGATCTCCCACATATTTAATGATAATAATTGTGAATTGATGGTGGACTGTAGTGGATAATGAAGAGAATGAGAGTTGGAGTGATCAGTCAAAATAAAAATGGCAAAAATAAATAATAATATTTACTTTAATATTTGCCGACGTTTCGACCTGAAGTTCTGGCCTTCAACAGAGCTGAAAAAAGAACCAGCTAACTAATTAATAATTTGTATAACAGTTAAAATCTGAGAAGTCAAATGTCCAAAATCGGACACATTTATTGGTTTTAATTTAATTTTATTTTTACGAATCGCAATTTTACAAAGCTGAAAAGATTTTTTTCACATTTCTAAGCACTATTGTGTATTATTTATTGTGTTTTCAAAAATTCTGTTTTACATTTTGCTAACATAGGTATACAATTTCTTTGTTCTATTTTTCTTTATTCTATTGTCATCTGGTTCTTTTCTCAGCCCTAATGAAGGCCCGAACTTCTGGTCGAAACGTCGGCAATTGTTAAAATAAATATTATTATTTCTTTTTGCTATTTTTATTTTGACTGATCACTCCAACTATCCTTCACTTAATCATTCTTTAATGATAATAAGTTATTAGACTATATTATTTTGGCTATTTTTTTAAAAGCCTCTTCAATCGGTTTGTAACATCTCATATTTTTATTTTTGCACGAAATTATTATTGTAAGTTGGAAAAAAAAACACTATGCAGGATTCATTAAAAGTTTCTATGACAGTCAAAATCTGAGAAATTAAATTACCAAAATCAGAATATTTAATAGTTTTAATTTTTTTTTGCTATTTTTTTAGAAATCGGAATTTTATCAAGCTGAAAACATTTTTTTTTTTCACTTTGCCAAGCACTATTGTGTAATATACATTGTTTTTTTAAAAAAAATATATTTTACATTTTGCTAGGATAGGTATACAATTTCTTTGTTCTATTTTACCCAATAATCACTTTAGTAGTGCTCATTGAGAATTTATTTTAAAATAATATATATTTTTTCTCTGTCACAATTGGTGTTATAAAACGTAAATAGTACCGACTAGTTCCTAGATTAGTTTACAAAAGTTATCTCCAAATTCGTGTTTATAAGCAATAGAAATTTGAGTCTCTTCCGAAACTTATTGAATAAAAAAAAAATTCTTGTACAAACTTATATTATTGGATGAAAGATATTCAGTAGATGGAGTAAATATTTTTTAAGTTTGTCAGCGTTTCTTTAAAAAGTACAAATAAATCAACGAACTAATTCGTATATTATATATTAGTTGTACATTTATAATTTTTTTGATGTGATTTTGTAGTTTGTAATTTTCAGCCCTCCCTATAATTCGTTTTTATTAATTGTGACAAAATGTAATAAAATTCAATAATAAAATTTAAAATAAAATTCTCAATTTTTGGAAACATCATTATTGACAGCGTACCCCGACTCAATTTCATTCTTACAACAGTCACCTATATTATTTCTATGTTATATGTATTGTACTGATAATATTGTCAATACTATTCTAGGATATCCAACGATGTCGTGGCTGGCAATCGGACAGGTATGGATACCATGCTCGTCCTTACTGGAGCGTCAAGTTTGGAAAATGTTGAAAAAGCAAGGGCAGAAAATCTTCATGAGCAAATACCAACTTATTACGCGAACTCAGTTGCTGACTTGATCAAAGCTTTCAAAACATAAATATAATTATTATAAAAATTTTGCAATAACATACTTAAACTCCAATCAGTATTTTTGTAAGTTATCAATCCAAACATAAAACATTTCAGATGTATTGTAGTGAAAAATGAAGAAAAAAAAAAACATATTTCAGTTTTATGATTTTTTAGTTATTCTGGATTTCTTAATTATAACTCTAGAAAGATATTTTCCTGTTGATATTTGTGTCACAATTTACAAGAAGTCTTAAAGAATTTTTGCTTATAACGTGTTTACAATAAAAATATAGTTATAATGTATTTAAATTTTTTTAAAATAAACTTTTTCTTTACAAAATATTTTTTATTTGATTTAGTTTAATATCCTTACATCATCTAACAAATATTTTTGTCTATAAGTGAATGTTCATGTTTATCTTATGCATCCATTATGAGACGAAAGTTAACCTAAATATACCCGGTGTTGTCTCAACACGTTTTCTTATTCATTAAAGCTCTTTTATACTACATTAATAAATTTTTAAAAAATAGCGGCTTGAAAGGATCCGAAACTGACTGCCGTTTACCACTCTACAAGATATGGAGCATTCTAATCCGACATACGGAGAAACGCCGAGAATTAGAGCTTACCGTCATGTCTTATACCTTTGTTTAAAAACATAGTTTTAGTTATTTTGTACTTCATCACAAAAAGTTTAGTATGCGTTAACAGTCGAATATATTTTTTATCTGTTCTATAGCAGTTTTGTATCCCATCTATACCCTCTCTAATTTCACAAACAAGAATCGCCCCACTGCGTAAAAAATACCTTTTCACTCCTTTCATGCATTAAAAAAAATACAGTCGTTCTGTCTCTTAATATCAGGCAATGCAGGAACATACTTTGGATGACAATCTTAGAGCTTCAAAACGGCCTTCAACTTGAAAAAGGGAGCAGAAATGACCTTGAACGACTACCGCCGGTACTCCCGATGGCCTTGATGGCAAAGACGGGAGGCGGATGACCTTGGAATAATATCCTTTAGGTTTCAAACGTCCTTCAATTCGAAATAAAGAGCAGCATTGACCTTGGAAGAATAGCGCCGTCCTTCCCGACGGCCTTGAAGGTAAAGAAGGGAGATAATTGACCTTGAAATACTATCCCCGCGCTTCCAAATGACGTGCAACACCAAATGATGAGCATAAATGACCTTGAAAGAATTCCGCCGGTCCTTCCGACGGCCTTGACCTTGAAATGCTATCCCCGAGCTTTCAAATGGCCTTCAACACCAAATAATAAGCATAAATGACCTTGAACGACTACCGCCGGTCCTTCCAACGGCCTTGACTTTGAAATGCTATCCCCGCGCTTCCAAACGGCCTTCAACACCAAATAATAACCTGAAATGACCTTGAACCACTACTCCCGGCCCTTTCAATGGCCTTGACCTTGAAATGATATCACCACGCTTCTAAATGGCCTTCAACACCAAATAATAAGCATAACTGACCTTAAACGACTACCGCCGGTCCTTTCGACGGTCTTGACGGCAAGGACGGGAGACGATTGACCTTGAAATACTATTCCTTCGCTTCCAAACGGCCTTCAAAATCAAATAATAAGCAGAAATGACCTTGAACGAATAGCACCGTTCCTCCCGACGGCCTTGACAGGAGACAATTGACCTTGAAATACTATCCTCGAGCTTCGAAATGGCCTTCAAATCCAAATAGGGAGCATAAATGAGTTTGAACGACTACCGCGGGTACTCCTGACGGCCTAGAAAGACAGGAGACGATTGACTTTGAAATACTATCCCTAAGCTTCCAAATGGCCTTCAACTATAAAAAAGGAGCAGAAATGACCTTGAACGACTACCGCCTGTTCTCCCGACGGGAAAGACAGGCCGTTGACCTTGGAAACTCCCCGAACGGTCAAGGAGCTAAGTAAGAGAGGCTGTTGACCTTGTAAAACGATTCCCGTGTTTGCCGACAGCCTTGGCGCTAAAGACGGAAGGACGTTGACTTTGACAAGTCTCCGAACGGAAAAAGCGGAAAAGGTTCTAAAATATAGCAGTTTTTGGGATATTAAAATGTGATCCGGGACATGGGAGAGAGGGGAAGACTCCTAGGTCGAAAACTTGGATTTTACATCTCAGTCATATTTCCTTACAAGAAAATAAAAAGAAACCTATCCTCCATTCAATGCAACTTACGATGTACAAGGTTACTGGGCTATATAAGCATCTGGTGTATTTTTTAATGTTGCTCAGGCGTTTGATAGGGTCTGGCAGCAGGATCTTCTCTTTAAACTTAAGACTATGCTGCCATACACGTACTATCTTATCCTTCAATCTTTCCTCTTCGACAGATTTTTCTCCATTCGATAGGGCTCAGAAATTACTTCGATTCGTCCAATCTTGGCAGGAGTTTCCCAAGGTTCAATACTGGGAATACTACCTCTACTTCACATTGTATATACTTACGATATACCTATTAACGATGAGATATTGATAGCTACTTATGAAATCGACTGGCGGAGGCTCTTGGAGGAGGCCAAGTCTCGGTGACGGGATGTCGCGCCACATGTGTATGTATGTATGAAATCGACACAATTCTCGCAAAACTCCAAGACCCTATACAAGCCTCATTAACTCTATAGCATCACTTACATGAATTACAAGATTCGTTCAAACTATGGAAAATTCGATTTAATCACGACAAACCAAACACATAACATTTACTCTTAGAAAACACATCTGCCCTCAGATTTATACTCACAAGAATCAAATTCCTCAAACAAACACGGTACTTTTCTTTGGACTCACAACAGAAGGATTGCATGGGGCCCGCATGTAAAAATGAAACGTAAGACACTTAAAAAACGACTCAAAATACTTTAATCTCTTTTTTCTAAATCTTCGAGACAAAAATTGAATACATATACATCCTTACTTAAACCCATATAGACATACTCATCACAAATATACGGTATCCCTAAAATGACCCATCTACAAAAACTTCCAAACCTCCCGGTATGTGACTAGCAAAACTCTACATACTGACCTCCACCTTCCAACAGTTGACCAACATATAACAGCACTTTACCGATTTTATACTAATAAACGGACATCGCAGCAGATTAATAAGAGACATAGCCAAAGCTGTCGTACCCCAGAACATGAGGAGACTAAAAAAAAAATGATTTGGATAAGAGATCTCCTTCTTTAAACAACCTAAGTAACTGAAACCAGTAAGGAGAGAGCTGTAGAATACTTTTTTTTTCCCATGCCTGTCATGTCATTCATATATTGTATTTCCAACACATTTGCTGATTGTTTATACAAGTTGACATGCGCAAATAATTTTTTTTATAGCAAAAAAAACTTTGTTTCAATCTGTTTGGAATTTGTTTTGTTTTTTTGTACACTGTTCTAAACAAAAGTACTAAGGAGAGACTGAAAACTTTTTCTTGAAAGTAGCTAGCTGGAGTTGAGGGAGATGTAAAGGCTTTCGTAATTAACCCTCTCTGTGCTTGTCCAAGTTTCTATCTAATTATTACGAACGCTACGGTTTATGAAAAGATGAAAACCAAGACCGTAGTAACAAGGCTCTTTCTTTTCATGTTGTTAACATCGGTAGGTACGCTTTTCTTCTAATTTATATCTTGCAATTAAATCACTTTATAAGATTACCACAGAAATGAAAACTGATCTGATATGCAGTTGGTAAAAATGATAAGGAAGTATAATAATCATAAAAGGCTTAGCGAACCCGAAGGTTCGATCCCGACACCACCAATCGCTTATTACATGCATCTCTCCACCGTTCGCCGTCCAAACCTAGTCCCTTCAGATCGGCTTTAATGCAATCTTCCCACCTACGCTTCGGTTTATCCCTCGGACGTTTACCATTCGGTACAGCAAATATTAACCTTTTAGGAATTCTCTCGTTACTAAGCCCAACAATGTTACAAGCCCATTTGATTCGCCGGGGTGAAAAAACCCCAATTATATTACCCGCATATAGTTTTATTCTCCACCGTCTTCAAAAGACATTTAAACATTAATTTGGTTTCGTTCTCTCTGAAGTTATTTTTTTCTGTTGGTTTTAATCTTTATTATAGAAGTTTATTTTATTTATTTTTTGTTTTGAATGGAATTTTTTTTTTTCACTGAATATTATATTTTGATTTTTTATTTATTTCAGTAAACCTTTATACCATTATTTGCTTATTTTAAATTTTGTATATATATTTTTTATTTTAATATAATAAATTGTAAACGTTCAAAAGGAGAATTCTTTATTTTCCATTATTGATTTAATGGATATTTTTATTTTAATATTATTTTGATGTGCATATTTTTTTTTTTTTATACTTACAGATCTCATTTTATAATAACTTTTTTTTTCCTTCTTTCCTATCATCTAATTTTACTCGTATTTTCCCCGCCTTTGAGGAAACTCACCGGAGAAAGAATTTTATTTTAATTTTGAAATATCCTTGGCCCCAACAGTACCTTATTTTCTAGTAGTATTCCTAAAGTCTAAAGTAACATGTTTGATAAATTTCACATCTAAGAGGTAACTAATTTCAAAGCTAAGAGGTAACTAACTGCAAGACACTTGCACAAGACTAAGATCAAGACTGAATACCCGAGATCAAGATTCATCTTGGTCTTGCATTTGGGCAACACTAATCGTACCTATGTACAATATTTACATAGGTGCAGGGGAGTCGAGCTTTGTTCTCCACCTCTAGAATGGAAAGCACAACTCCAGGAGATCATCCAGGCACAATAAAATACAAATATTTGCCACCTTAATATTTTTTTATTGAAAATGCATAAACTTAAATTAATCTTGAAAATATCTCGAGTTCTTCCATAAACCTAAAGTTATTTTTGAGAGAGTAACCATGATCGATTTTTGCATTAGATCATAAGCAAAAACTAATTGGATGTATGTTTCCAATGATAACATAACATATTAAAAATTGTTCATTACCAGACTGAAACGACAAGAAACCGTTCGTCCATAATTTCCGATTATTTCAGCGCTTACTAGAAGATAAACGTTCTTAACTTCCAATTAATTACAAAAGACTCATATATATGAGTATAATAAGGCCTATTTGGACTTACGGAGTATGTTTATTATGTTTCAGATCTGGCCCAATCTAGATACCTATCCTTCCATAATAAACTTCAGAATCATCCCAACCCTCTCGTTTCTAACCTTGCTTCTTCTTCAATTCCTGATAACCCTCCGAGGCGTCTGAAAAGAAGATGGTCCCGTGATCTCCTAATGTAGACATACCATTAGAGTGCTACCAGGGTAGTTTCTCAACAAGTGTTTT